TCATTTTTTTTTTTTTTTTTCTCTTTCATTTGCCTTACCGACATGTTTATTTACTATTAGCTCAAGGAGTTTATGCGTCTTATTTTTCATTTATCATAACATATCATACCATCATATCATATTACGCTTGACAAAAAATACCACCGGCGAATGTACCAGGCGGCAACCATTGTTATACCTTTTCTTTTCGTTTATCATTCCCCCACCCACAACCAACCCCTTCTTCAACCAGCATCATTCGCATGTTAGTTATACTGTACGAAAGTTTCACGGCGTTTCCTTTCCTTTTTTTCATATTGATGGATGTAATTGACTTTCCTTTCCCTTTATTCTTTTCAGAACTACTTACCGCTACCGCTAATGGGTTCTGGTTCTGGCGAAACTGGACTGGACGCACTGCACTGCACTACTGGATATGGGTGTTATCAAGGGGTTTTGTTTTCTTTTTTTTTTTCTCTTCCAGGAAAAAAAAATTATTCATAGACCTTATGCTTTTTCTCTTTCTTTAGAATCGTGTCTGCCTGTCTTGATGAATGTCGGTTGAGCTTGAGTCGATACCTATGTGAGGGAAGGGAGATGTTTCTCGTTCTTGGCGTCGTGTCTCCTGGTATCTATCTATCTAGTTAGTTTTCCGGGAGAGAAGAACGAGGCAGAGAGAGAAAGAGTATTGAAAAGAAATAAAATAAATACATTCTAATGTTATTAATGTTTCTGTCTGTTCCAAGCATTTCATCAAGACATGAGCCCTGTGATGTTTAGTTATCGTTATCCGCCTTGGCACGACGAGCTTACTTCAACCTCCACGAATTCTATTCTAGGCATACATAATATCACTTCACATACTATCAACTAACAACTACACTTTACACACACATCTAGTCCCATAAAAGCAATTCCCTACGTCGGTAAGCAGTCGAACGAACAATATCTAGCTATCGGAGAATTTACCAGCTAATTAATCTAACTACACCAGAAAGAATCGGAAAACCTGCATCATACCATAGCTAGCTACCCACCTCTATACAATACGTGTTTATACCACGCTATACGTTGATCAACTATATTTGAAACAGAGATATATTCCATTGAACCCTCTCGTACCACGAGATCAACCCGGTTACACATCCTTGAAGCGATGGTGGTATAATAGCGCAGCGCAACCGATGGGCCCTATGATAGAAGGGGGCGATGACGAACCTCGAGACGACGAGCTGGACTTGCGCGATGCTAGCTCTGATGTCGGTGCTGACGCTGATGTAAATGAGCTGGATGAGCGGGACCTTGTTGGCGCGGATAGTGGAGACGTACTTGCTCTAGACGAGGAGGATCCTTCTACCCTCTCGGGGAGTCAGGATGCGTCTGCGTCGGGGGTGGAGGCGTCGGATTCGACGTCTGAGGGGGACAGAGCACGTTCGCGTGAGCGGGTGCATGATAGCGTTGATGATTTAGGCTCTATACCGGACGATACGCCTTCTGTCCAGGTACGTATTTCTCTCCTTTCTTCTCTTGAAAAAAAAAACACGGAATATCTAATATAAAGTATCACACAGGGTTCTCTCGTCTCGTCACCTGGTAGTAGCGCATTTGCTTATCGCGGATCAACTTCGAATCTCAGCCCGGTCCCCCACCGTCCGTTCGATCGCCGATTCCAATCTCGTCTCTCGGTCTCGTCGATTCCCCCTAGTGCTCGACCCGTCTCTCCGGCACTAAGTCTTGCGCATTCTCGAAACTCGTCGCTGGCAAGTCACCTTCGGTTTGACGCCAGTACGCCGGACTTGCTTGAGGAGCCAGAGCCTGCGCCATGGGAGGTAATTCGCTGGACCAAGCTTAAGAAGATAGCTGGCCAGGTGTTTTCGGAGGTTGGGAAGAGGAACTTTGGCAGACCGACGTGTATGGCTGTGTCTACGTCGATTGTGCTAGGAACGACCAAGGGAGTTATTCTCGTCTTTGATTATCAGCAGAATCTCAAATCTATTATCGGGCCAGGAACAAAAGGTGGGTTCTCCCCGCGTTATTACTGTTGTTGATGTCTGTATATTGACTGTTTGCTAGCCGTTTCGTCTGGTGCTGTTACTTCGCTGGCTATATCTGCAGACCACACCACGCTTGCTGGCGGTCATGCAGATGGAACGATTTATACCTGGGAGATCGCGCGACCTGCGCGACCATTCCTTCACATTCTACCATTTCCTAAAGATCAACTTGACTCGCGCCGGGTTGATGGCCATGTCGCTGGTGTATCAGTAATCCACATTGGCTTTTTAGGAACCAGGCACACTGCCCTTGTCTCGGCTGACGATAGCGGGATGGCATTTTCGCACCTTGCAACTCGAGGGATGGGGGCTGTCGGGCGAGTAGTGAGAACTACCCGTATTCTAGGTCGCTATCCTGACCTTTCCCCCACTGCTGTGACCCGGAAACCCAGCTCTGTCCTTGCTTTCTCCCCTCTTCCTCTAGGCAACGTCGATCAGCAAACTGATTCGCTGGGGTTGGTTGCAATGCTCACACCATACCTTTTAGTGATTGTTTCCACTACCCCAGTTGCTAGAACCCAATATAAATCTGGACGGCCTAAAGAACTTGCAGCGCATAGTGCATTGACTGCAACGCTCGCTTGGTTCCCAGCTATAAAGCTGAAAGGGAAGAACTCGGAAGTATCAAAGACGAAACTTGTGTACTGCTGGTCAAATGTGCTTACGATTCTGGATGTTGATGAGAATGATCGCGCAAATGACGATGATAAGGATAGGCCGGTTAGCCTCAGGTTCAAGCCGCGATGTAGATGGCGGGCTGACGAGGCTATTGTTGCTGTGCAATGGATAAGCCGTTCAGTCCTGGCTGTGATGACAATTACTCAACAACTCCTTATCCTAGAAGATAACTCTCTGCGAGTCACTGATTCGTCTGACCTGATACATAAACATATTTATCACGTTGATCTGTTTTCGAGGCAACTTCACACACTTGTTGAGCAGCTTAACGATGATGACGACAGCGAACCGGACCACTCAATGCACGGTGTGATCGCCGATGCGTTCTACATGAGCTTTCGAGCGTATAAGGGTCGTCTGTTCCTTCTCGGGTTCAACGATATTTGCGTGGGCAGCTTGTCGAATTGGGCTGATCGACTTCTTGCCTTGGTCGAAAGCGGTGATTTCATCGGGGCCATTCGTCTCGCTACAGCATTTTATATTGGCCATTCTGAGAAACTTACCGTTGGGCTTCCTGAGGAAGACAAATTAAGACACGAGGTTGTACGGGAAAAATTACTTGAAATGATGTCAGCTTCTCTCCGGTTCGCCTTTGGAAAAAATGCTGAGTCTGATATCGAGCGGCTCCAAAAGTCGCAACTAAGCGATCTGGCGGATGCATGCATATTTGCTTGCGATGCCATGGATAACCATGATTTTCTGTTTGAAGACGTTTACTCCTGGTACGAGGAACATGAAGCCTATGGTGTTTTCATGGACGCTCTTGAACCATACATTGTCAAGGGTAGCGTGCGTGCTCTCCCGCCGGCCGCTGTGAAGTCCTTGATTACTCACTTCGTAACAACTCATACTGCCAGCCGACTTGAAGAAATCATCTGTCTCCTTGAAACTGATACAATGGACATAGACCAAGTGACAACTCTATGCAAAAAGCATAATCTTTATGATGCCTTCATATACGTCTGGAATCGTGCTCTACATGACTATGTCAGCCCTCTTCAGGAGTTACTCAACCTCATCCATAAAGCCAAGGGCGCTGATAAAGATCCGGAAGCCGTCGCGAAAGACCGTGCAAACGCGTTAAAGATGTTTCCCTACCTTTCTTACATTCTTACATCTCGTGTTTACCCAACTGGAGATGAACTAGAGGAACACGAAGCGTTGCCTGCGAAAAGCGAGCTTTACAAACTTTTGTTTTCCGGAAAGCCTGATCGTGGTGGTAAACAGCAGACAAATGGCCCATCCCCATTCCACAGTCTCCAAACGATGTTAGAATTCGATACCCCCAGCTTTATGAGCATGCTCAACGAGGCCTTTGAGGATAGCTTTCTGAACGACCCAATTGATCAGTGGAATAACGGGGAACAAACTAGGCCCGTCGATGGCTCATCAATGAACCGCCAGTATCTAATAAGGATACTTCTTGGAATTATGGACTCGAATTCATCCAATTTCGGTCCTGCTGACACGATTTACCTTGATATGTTCATCGCTCGGAATCTCCCCAAATACCCTCAATATATACTTCTCTCTGGCTCAACTCTACAGGAGGTCCTGGTGAGACTTTGCCGGTACCCAAGTGTTGAAATGTTGGATGATTGCCAGCTCTCTGCAGAATACTTATTGTCTACTTATCACCCTCCTGATATACAAGCCCTGATTCCTTTATTCGAGGAGGCAAAGTTCTTTCGAATACTGAAATCAACATATAGGGCGGAAAAGAGATACTCAGATTTGCTGCGAACGTACATTGCTGACCCAGAGGATCAGCAGCATGTATTTGTTTGCATTCGTGACTATCTGCGGCCGAGTTCTCCCCTTAGCAAAAAGCAGCGCCGAAGCCTTTTAACTACAATGGAAGAGATCGCAAGAGAACTAGCTTTAATAGATATCTACGAGACGGCGCACACCGTGCAATTGTTGGCCCCCGAACTTCACGATAAATTTCTTCAGGCGCTACAAAATGACTCCGGAAGCCAATATGAATACCTTCATACCATCCTTGAGGACGGGCAGAAACGGAGAACAGACACGGTATCCGCGACTAACGTTAGCCATGAGCTTATTGAGCGATACCTCCAATTAATGTGTCAATACAACCCATCCCACGTTGCTGATTTCATTAACTTGATGAAGGTGGGAGACCTCCAGTTAGAAGCAGTGCTCCCTTATATAGAGAATAGTGGCATCGTGGATGCTGCAGTAATTCTCCTTGCGAAACAGGGAGAAGTCACCAACGCTATGGAGAGGCTGACGAGGCACCTCTCGACTTTGGAAGCTGGGCTCTCTGGTCTTCTACAGAATGCCGACGAGACTCCTGACTCAGCAAATGCTGCGGAAGCTGTGACAGACTTGATTCTCTCCGTTGAGAAGTACACGCGGGTTGGAACTTGGCTATGCAAAGAACAGAGCAAGGTAGCAAGAAAAGTCCACCAGGGAGGCAAGTTTAATAAGCGAGGAAGCTCTGTGTTTGAACAGCCTCTAACATTCGATGAGAACTTATGGCTTGTCCTTATTGAGGCCGTTGTGAAAATAGCTCAACAAATCTCGCCCTTGTTAAAACGCGGGCTCCTTGAAGATAATAACAAAAAACCTAGGGAGGCCTGGCAGGTGGAAGCCGACGAGGATACTGAGGATGCTAACCAGCCTGGTCATTTATCATCCTCCTTCAAATCTCTAGTGCAACAAGTTTTCACCTCGTTGCTGACTAGCACCACAAAGGCCAGGCATGCACCACATCAGAACACAGATGTGTCATTCCTTCGCATTCTTCGCGCGTTCCTCACTCGGGCCGCAGCAGCATCTCCATCCTTATCTGAGCTTCGGACCGTGATTGGCTCCATATTTTCAGCATACACCTACGAAGAGTCCCTGTTATCACTTGCCAACACGATGCTTGAGAAGGACTTGTTCGTGCATGTGAATGAAATCACCAAGCTTCGGCAAAAGGGGTGGAGGCCACGCGGGCAAGTCTGTGAAGTATGCAGACGGCGTGCCTGGGGCCCTGGTACAGGGGCACACATATGGGATGCATGGGAAAAGAAATGGGACCAACAGCAAAGGCGGAGGCACCAGGATATAGACAAGGACGAGGGTAGAGACGAGGGTTCGTCTTCGAGGAACAAAGGCAAAGGCGTTGCTGTACCTTCGCTGCCTACCTTCAGCCTTTCACCAAACGCACCTTCTTCGCAAAGGGAGACAACAAATACAGCAGCTCCAGGCAATATCCCTGGCGACAGTGGTACAAATACTAACGGAGAAGGGTCATCTCAAGCAGTTGGCGAATCATCGGCAAATGACACCAGTGTTGCCACTGCTACAGCATCCACAGACCTTGGGCCTATTCTAGTATTTGGGTGCAGACATCTATATCACCAGTCCTGCCTTACCAAGACGGTGGCTCAGCAAGGCCTCGGCGATAACGCTTCTTCCTCTGTATCTCCTGAACCAACATTCCGTCCCTCTCAATATGTTCATGATCGGGCTGGGCCTCGACAGTTTTCGTGTTTGTTGTGTAAATAGCCTGCTTTTCATCTAAGCGTATCTGCTGTTATTTAGACGGCTTAAATACATTATAATTTATGATGTTATTAACTTAAGGCCTTTCGCATAACTACAAGTGGTCCAATCGATGAGTAGAGCTTACACAGTAGACCGATTCGCGATGCATCTTAATTCGAGCAGATCTCCAATAAATACTAGTAAAGGTTGAAAATGGCCGAAAACTCGGCGTTCTTTCATCCGTGGACATTTTAAGTTAGTTTCAGCCTTCAGGCAATCTCGAGCCTTTTCTCGAACTCCTGAGAGAAGCATTTTAGCCTGTTTTGAAATGTCCAAGAGTGTGGCACTCCATCTTGTTCTCCAAGAGGCTTCAAGACGCCCTTTCATTGATATATTCTACTCGTTAAATGATAAAAGGCCGTTCAGCCCATATATCTCCTTCGGTATAGCACCGGTCCCATCGAAAGGGTTACGATTTCATAACGAATCATATCACTTTGCTTCAGGAAAGTAGTGGCCACGTCATCAAAGGAGCAGCAATCTTGGAGGGCCCTGAGATACATACTTCAGCCTTGGGGATTTCCACGGCTCGCAGAATTTTTCCGTGATGGCGGTCTGCTTTGGTCAAAAAGAGACAGTTCACATTGAAATCAACAAGGTATCATATAAGCCGCCTGATTGCACCCTCAGGTGCAAGCCCGCCCACCCTGTATTATCCAGCAGCCCAAAGGGGGGCAGCAATATCTCATAATCAGTGTCATCAACGCGAGTTCGATGCCCGTTGTCTGTCTGGTCGGTTCGTGCATAAAAGAAAATATGTAAGTACCTTGCTTTTACCCCTGCAGCCACAAAGTATAAGAGCGCGGACTATCGGGTTGCATGAGGAAGGACGTTCCATACTATGTCTCCCGCAGCGCTCCCAGACAGGCCTAGATTGTGACCACGCCTTCATGACTCTCTCCAATCGGACAAGCCGCTTTGATTATCAGCCTGTTGGACTGCTGCTTGGACATGTAACACCGCGTGGCAGCACTTGCGTTGGTATTTCGCGCAGCTGGGCTCCGTAACCAATCAAATAGTACTTGATGCATTCCAACACGTAAGCCCTTTGCGTTATGACATGTTATGGTCATATATAACCTGCATCCGTTAGTTAACTGCTCTTAGTGTCATGTCGAGACCTCCTTGGCCTTACTATGCGAGCCTTTTGTCCTTAAGACAGAGTAAGAGTAAGGTCTTATGTAAGCCTTTGGTTCTTCACTTCAAGCTCGAGTGACTTTCATTATGTCATCGTGGTTATGTAAGCAGAGATTCCGCTTCACTCTAGCGCCAACCTTGGCGGCTATAAACGATCCCTGCACTCCCTAACGCGGCTCCACTTTTCTCTTTTCTTTTCTTACTTCTTGTTATCGAGGACGAGGGCGAAGAAGAAATCACCAACACAAGATTCTGTGCTTGACAAAAAGAAACTGACATGGCGAGCCCAGGCTATGGGGAGGCCGCCAAGGAGCACCGCTCACAGCAGAGGAGTCGAGCCGCAAAACGCCGCTCCAACCTTGAAAAGGAAGAGCTATTTCGAAAGAGAGATGATATTCTGCAGCTGGCAACAACCGCCAATCTCACGCCAGTGCGTGCTGCTTACGTCGAATTTCTTCTCTCCATAAAAAGCTGCCAGCACCAAACCGACTTCTCAAAAGACGTAATTAAAACATACGGTGGTATTACAAAAGTCGGCAGAGAGTCTTTCTGCCATAGCGTCCTGGATGGCAGTCTCAGCCTGAGAGAACACTTCGTCGCAGCCCGTATATTTCCACTTTCGCTCGGACAAAGAGCAATGGATTACATCTTTGGCCCTAGCGCAAGGTACGAAATAAACTCGCCACAAAATGCTTTACTCCTCCCTCCTATAATTAAGAAGCGCTTTGACTCCCATCAGATCGCCATTGTTCCTACAGAGCTAGACACGCCAGGCCTCCAAGAATGGAAGTTTTTCATCCTTGACAAATCCAGCCTTTGGAACGCGGCAATATTTCCTTCCGGGATGAAATTCTCTGAGCTACACGGGCGAAAACTGGTTTTCCCAACCGGTTTCCGGCCGCGAGCGGGCTACTTATATTTTCATTACCTGATGTCAATGATTGTCCTCTTTCGATCTGTAAAGAAGACTGGTGAAGTCCGCAGTAAATTTCCGGATACTGATTGGCCTGAGCTCACGAAGGCATGGGCTACGCATGGAAGCTATCTTCGTGATGACATGATACGTAGCTTTATCAAAGAGGTCGGCCGGGACCTTCCGGAAGAGTTGAAAGAAAACGCCCTAGCTCACTGTGTGTCTTTACGCTCAGACGACGAAGTCGAAGAGGTTGTTGAGTCGCTGAGGAACATGGGCATGGAGAGTGAAAGCGAGGATGAGAGTGATGACGACGACGATGAATGACGGTGAGGTAGATAATAACGACCAGCATTGACGATGGCAGTGATTGCTCTTCCTACAGCAGAACAAAGAGCATACTCGCCAGAAACGATAGAACAACCCCAGAGCATCTCGGGAGCAAGGAACCGACGACTGGACCCGATGAAGATGGAACGTTTCGTTCTATTAAATTAAGCATCATAAACTCCATGTTTTTTAAACAAAAAATTGAATATAATAATTATATTTTAATAATTTTTAAATAACAAGCGTAAGATCCATACATAGTAAGGCCACAGAGTACGGTTTAAAAATGGGGTTAATCCCCCATATTATCCATTATTTGATATACATAGTCAGAACTAATTATGTACAGAAATTGCAAGCAGAATAGAAAATGACAGACCAACGGGCAAGGTTAACTTGGATACTGTAGCATCCTGTCGCTGAAAGGGGTATATCTTTCTCCTGACAAGGGCTCGAGTCACATTCCATGCATGACTTGATGTGCCTTTTCTTCCCAAGCAACATGCCTTAACCCTAACCTTACACATGCATGTATATACGACTGCGCTGGCGCCGAGAACAGTGGTTGTGCTTAGGCTGCTGCCGGCCAATGTGGGTGTAGAGACTGTGATTCGACGCTGGCGATGCAGGTCCAGGGGCCCCAATCCACCATCCTGACACACCAAGCCCCTCAGAACCGTTTCGTCCGCGGCCGCTCACTCTTCCCGGTACTTGGACGGAGTTGGTATGTGTGCGCTGGCTGATCCGCCCTCCAGAGACAATTTCCCTTCATCTTTGTCAGTCAGCTAGGCAGCTTCGTGAACTGGTTGGCTAATCAACTTTGTCTGCAGCTGTATTATAGTTAGCGCTGCGCAAGATGCCCTCGGGCGGCTACACATACAACGAGTAAAAACGGAGGCAACAAGGACATAACAAAGTGATGCTCCATCCAGGGCCTTCTCTTTTGGCCGTCTGGAGGTGGATCAGGGTGCATCGCCCGGCCCTGGGCCTCCGTACATAAAGTCAGGGGAGGCAAAGACAGCCATTCACAGTCATCGGTACAATGTACTCCGGGTTCCCCCCCCCTCGATGGCGACTCTGAAAATAGAGCTGGCCTACTGGATGTTTACTCACCTCCTTGCGTCTGGATGTATCAAAGATCTGACTCTGGGAGGAAGAGGGGGAGTGGCTCTAAGTTCGGAGTTGGGCTTTTTCTTTATATATATATACTACACCCTTGCTCAACTTGTCCTCTTTACTAACGATTTCCACTCTCTTTTGACATTCACTTCTTCTCACTCTTTATTGTGTGTTTTTTTATTCAATAGATCCTCTGGCAGGATTGAATCCCTATTCTGAAACTATATTCTGTCATTTCTTTCAGAAGACGTCCTTCTTTATACCCTTATCAGGCATTTTCTACATAGCCTGAGATCCCTCTCGCTACCACAGAATCATCTGGACTTATTATTATATATATATTTTTCTATCTTTTATTTCTTCTTTCATTCCCTTGGACCATCTCGTGATCAACATGCGCTCTACCGGGTTGCTGCTGCTGGCTACCCTGGCGGAGCTGGGTTCTGCTACCTATATCCTCGAAGACGACTATCAGCCCAACACCTGGTTTGACCAGTTCAGCTTTTTCTCTGTAAGTAATTTTCTTCTAGAGAGTTCACTTTTAGTGAACTTGCATACTGATGTCGTTGTTGGATATTAGGCAAAAGATCCAACTCATGCATACGTCAATTACCTCGACCAAGCTGCGGCTCAGAGCCAGAACTTGATCGGTATCCAAAACAACGCCGTCTACCTAGGTGTTGACCATAAGAATGTTGCAACGGGGGAGGGTCGAAGCTCTGTTCGCCTCGAGACGAAGAAGGTGTACAACCATGGCCTAATTATTGCTGATATCAACCATATGCCTGGAGGTGAGTGTGGAACATGGCCTGCCTTGTAAGTTCAACCCTGTCGTATAGACATCTATTCGGTTCTAACAGTGCCAAATAGCTGGACTACATCTTCTGCTTGGCCGAACGAAGGTGAACTAGATATCATCGAGGGTGTAAATCAACAAAAGCAAAACGACTACGCTCTACACACTGCTCAGGGATGCAGCATCCCCAAGCAGGGAGAATTCACCGGAACCGTCGTCACCCCCAACTGCGACGTCAAAGCTGCTGGTCAGGCTGAAAATCAAGGTTGCCTGGTTGAGGATTCGAAAGGGTCTCGCGGATACGGACCGGACTTCAACAACGCTACGGGTGGTGTGTTCGCTACTGAATGGACTAGCAAAGCCATTTCCATCTGGTTCTTTCCTCGTGAGGAGATCCCAAAAGACGTCAACAGCGAGCACCCTGATCCATCTAAATGGGGAAAGCCATCTGCTTACTTCGGCGGAGAATGTGATGTCGGGAATCATGTTCGCAACCAACGCATTGTAAGTTCATTTCCATCTTCACATATTGTAGAATATAGAGCTAATCTCCCTCCAGATCTTTAACACTGCCTTTTGCGGAGGATGGGCTGATGGAATGTGGCCCACCGACCCGGTCTGCTCAAAGAAGGCTCCTACCTGCATGGAGTATGTACGGGAAAACCCATCTGCTTTCGAGGAGGCATACTGGTCAATCAATTACATGAAGGTCTATCAAGAAGGGACTGCGCCACCTAAGTCTACCCAAGTCCCTGAACCACCATCCTCTACATCGGTGATGTCCTCCACCATACCAACTTCCACCCCTGCCACCGCTCAGCCCAACCCTCCCGCTTCTACCGTCAGCAGTTCTACAGCAGGGCCAGCTCAGCCTACAAACCCATCTGGTGGCGACGGTACACATCCTACCAGCGGAGGTAACAACTGCCCCCCACCAACCCAAACTACATGCCGAACCTACGTTACCACATCGACATACACCATCACAAAGACCATCATGCCAACCGACGCTCATACCACCGGCAACATTGTCCCGATACCATCTGGAGCTCTGAATGATGCTAAGAGTGCGGTTCAGCGTCGACGACGGGACATGGAGCACCATGCCAGGCGTGGCCACCACAACTAAAATCAAACACTAGACTACAGAATTGTCTTGTATTTTCTGTTGTTTAAAGCGTTATATTTTTGTACAGCATATTGCAATTTTTATTTGCTTTTTCATTCTGCTGCCAAAGATTAAATGTATAGGAAAGGAGTCGGAAGGAGATTAAGGGTAGGAAGTAGAATAGAAAGCAGGACTTTTCTTTTTCAGCACCATGTTAGAATATTTTACACATTAGTAAATACTAACCAAAATTCTGATTATGTTTCTAAATAGCTGCAGGTTATAAGGAGTAATAGGATGATTGGAATTAGTTAAATTATTTGAAAAAGAACACCTCCAACTCCTAAATACTACTCTAGAAAGCCTTCAAACACATTCATTGTATACATTCATATCGGCAAACGAATGTCGATATCAGACCAAGGCCTGGACGCATTCACCCCCCAAAACCCAGCTCGTCTCTTCGATCATCTGTCAGCCGGCCCCATTCTAGCAATAATCGGAAGAGATATATCTCCATATCTTCTTTTCTAAGGGTTTCTTCAGCCCATTTCTTGCCTTCCCCGGCAATTATCCCACCCTCACGAGTATGCGGCTTCATCAAAACCTTCGTGACCTTGCCGTTTTCACCAACCGTTCTAGCTCCTGCAAAAAATGCCAGAGTGCTCCACAGGTCATGGAATCTGATATCCTGCGGCACAAAGTGCAGCCATGGCATTAATCTCGTATCAAACCATTGACGGAATATTGCAGTTCGGAAGGGGAGGCTATTACTTTGTAAAAAGGACAGGAAGCGGCCGCTGAACCCGGCACCGTCCAAGTCGAACAAGAAACGGTATTTCCAATGTTCATCAAACTGAACCCGTCTGGTGATCCCGAGCTCGCGTCTTTGGACATCGCGGTCTTTTTTGCCGCACCGCACTATTTCCTCGGCAATTCCGATTGATAGATTCAGTTCCAGTGATTGGGAGGCCATGGAGGGCGTTAAGGTGCTGTAAGAAAAGAAACCTTTCGACCAGGAAGGAAGAAGCATGGAAACCGGATTTGTATTATTGTTAGCTAAATGCAGGAGCCGCTGGCGAGCCATTCCCTTCCATGTCCCGGACTCGCTGAACCCTTCAGAGGTCGTTCCTCTCCAAAAGACGGCAGCCTCCTTTTGATCATAACGTGGATCAGGATATTCATCCGAAGGGCTGTACTTCGCTTTTTCCAGATAGTTCCAGGCACTAGGGTATAAAATGTCGTTAAAGCCTGATACCTTGCTCTGGCTAAAGACTGGGAGTAATTCCCGGGATACTTTGAAAGCACTTGGTGAAAGGAAGAAGCCATGTAAGTTTGCTAGATCTGGCTGATGGCAGATATCACCGGACAGTTCCCAGTCCTGTAAGAACTGCCCCATTGTGTGCGGTTTAGCACATGATATGCATAGGGTGTCATGTTGCCACTGATATTCTGTTCGAGCCTTCGAGTCTGGCGGGCATGATTTGCTCACAATACTATGGAAGGTATCTCGTCTTGAATGCTCCATGAAGTGGGAATGGGCTACTTGGTCATTTGAACGACTAAGTGCCCAGGATAGTGATCTATCTTTAGACCAGACATTACTCATATTATAATCCAGTGATGATAGTCCACTTTCTGCTGTGTTATTCATGGCTTTTATGGTATCCCACGGAACTGAAACGCGACATTCGTCATTGATATTAAACACAATGTCCATATCTGGTAAATAGGTTGCGAATGGAGTGATCATTTGGACTATCCCATATATCATCCACCTATGAGTGGGTATTACATCTGGCTGGGCCTCAGCAACGCCATCACGAATCACAACAGCAGCTATGTCGTTCCATTGGTTGCTGGACATAGAACTGGTAAGATGCCTCAATGCGCTTGGCGTAAGAGCACGGAATGGAAGGATATCCCGGTGTATTTGGTCAAAGTTATCAATGATTAACGATGACCGGTTGGTAGCATATTCGTACCATATATCGAACCCACTGTTTTATGAACGTATTAGCAACACTAGAGTCCCGCAATGTGTGGTCGTAGAAAATCAACCTACGGCGGGGGAGGCAGCCCATAACGCTCCTTATATTCGTATACAGCTCCCTGGAGGTCAGTACTGTACTTCGCTTCAGCCAACCATTGAGCTTGTCTCTGTCTGGCGTTATTCATTAAAACGTTGATTGGGTGTTCAGGGATAGTTCGTTGTTGGAAAATCGTCCACGAGAGACAGTGTAGCAACGAGGCCAGTATTAAAAATAGGAAGAGGAAATATGGAAGCCAGGAAGGAATAGGATCGGCGGGAAGAGTATGTCTGACATACAAAACGGCTGCGCCGTGAAGGAGTGCAATCGCTAGGAGCCCCGTAACAAATGGCATTGACGGGTACGGCTCTAACATGGTTGAAACGATTGAAGAGGTAAGATTGTGGCGCGCAGCCAATATTGATAGCACGAATGAAAGCGTCAAAGCTTTAGCATTTACTATCTACACCAATAAAATATTAGCACGCTTTGAAAGTACACCCCAGAAAAAGTTAGGAATAATAACCTACCCATTTTGCGGCAGATATGATAAATATGGATATAAAGAGAGACTGCACAATCATGTCGCCAGCACGAGAGGGTTGAAACTCCGAAAATAAAGGTTCATTCCTCGAGGCTGGGAGAAAATAAGTCCCGGATTTTCCAAATGCCCAAAAAATGGCACTTCCCTAGAATTGGAACAATATAAGATCAGTTATAGACGTCGTGTGTATGGGAGCATTTTGGGTAAAAAGTACCATGAGTAGAAGCCCCCATGTTGTAGTCACTTGCCAGGCCGGTCCGTCTGACCGACGTATAGGTGACCTGGCCAATATCTCGGCCGCAATCACGATGGCAGAGTCGAGAAGCTCCCGTAGTATCTGTAGCCAAAGAACAATGCGTCGCTCATTCGTAACGCTGGGGCATATAATTGATGACCTCCAACCATCCCTTAATGGCCTTATAGCCAACCCCGCTATAATCAGGAATGCGGATTCGCAGACGTAGCCAAATGGTCCCCGTAGTATGCCTCCCAATCGAAAGCGGCCTTTTCGTTTCGTATGTTTAAAGTTCCAATATTCATATAGCGACAGTATGAAAGGTAATAGAGTCTAATAATTAACAGTTAATAGACTAGACACATATATACGAAAACTCGGTCCCAGTCATTAACTTACAATATCATCAAATACCGAGCAGCCCACATGTCTGACAAGATATCCATGAAGCTCTATCCGAGCACTCAAAAGCGCCACCGTAAATGCAAATATCATCCATGTTTCTCGTACTTGTGGGCGTCGTTTCTCCAGAGGGCTAAAGTATGATAGATCGGACCTTGGTAATGGCGCCTTATCATCTTGCAACCCCGAGCCTGGTTCCCCTCTAGAAAAGGAGAAGCTAAGGAAGCTTATGGTCAATAATATAATGCCGGAGGTGAAGAGAATAATCGAGAGCGATTCTGAAGGCCGGTCTGGAGTATATCATGAATTAATATGGTACAAAAAACTACGACAGGTAGTTCGCCATTGACCTGGCTCGCAGTTATGGCAGCTCACAGTAAATTGCTGATGCGTTCGAGGAGAAAAGGAGGAATTGAAGACTAGCGATGAATACACTGGCAAAGACGTCAGTGAAATGAAGTTTACGAGCTTAAGAGCCACTTACCAAGGAGCAATTGCCATGCTTCTCTTCTTCATGCATTTGCATATACAAACTAGCTCATTATAGGCATTTTCATTATCGTTAAAGGAAGGCCAGCAGGGAAACTTGCTCATCGTTAATACCGTGTAAATGACGGATAAATAACGCCTTTTTAGTAATTATCGATAATGGCTCTAGGGAAGCGATGCCGTTCGGACTCCTTTAGCTCTTTGGTATGGATCTCATATTGTAGGCAGCTTTCTGTCTCTAGACACCTTTATGTAACCTAAAGCCGGCGAATCCGTAACCATATCGCGTGTGACGAAAGAACCGAGCTTAAAATAGGACCATCCATGAGGTGTTCTCTAGACAAAGAAATAATAATAGGAGTTAAAGAAATCAAGTTTTCAACATGAATTCACCTTCATGCATAGGTTGGGTATATATGTATGTACGACCTAGGCATGCTGTAACGAAAATTAAGTTACGCCACCCGTTAAAGGCGCAACGGATTTAAGCATTGTCTCTTGATACAGGGTATTAATCGGTATTGTCCTAGGGTTGGCTAAGAGTATAAGAAGACGCAACGTAAACAGCAGTTGAGACTATATAATAACAAGTAATTCTTGATCTTTCGTGTTGTTTTTTGTCTATTTTTATGTCCTCCAAAGCTTTAGACGCCAACGAGGATAATCTAACTCTGTGACTAATCAAAACAAGCAGAAGTTGTCATTTTCAATTGGTTATTAAGCGCCAACCTTCGCTTAATTTTACATAATCCATGCCAAGACTTAATAATTAATAGTGATGTATTGATATGTCACGTGGTTTATATTTGTGGGCGGTGAGAGATGGCAATAAAACAAAGTTTGGAAACTTTTTTTTTTGGATTGAATTTTGGGTGGAAGTTTTGAAGGAGCTTCGACTTCTTGAGCAGTGCGATTGCTTCACAGGAATCACATTTGTCCTGATTCACGTCCATGAAGTGTGTTTGTTACACTTGGTTTTTACCTATTCGCTCTTTTGATTGTTCAATTCGAGAGGCTGGAGAAGAACTTCAGGCGCAATGCCACGAAAGGCGCTCGACTCGCGCATTCCGGCGCTGATTCGAAATGGGATCCAGGAAAAGAAACGAAGCTTCTTTGTCGTTGTCGGAGATCGAGCCAAAGATGTTATCGTTCATCTTCACTATATCATGTCCAGCGTCGACGTTAAGCAGAATAAATCAGTGCTCTGGGCGTATAAAAAGGACCTGCTTGGCTTCACGACTCATCGCAAGAAGAGAGAGATGAAGATAAAAAAGGAAATAAAGAGAGGAATACGCGATCCTAATACTGATGACCCTTTCGAGCTATTTATTACTCTCAATCAGATCCGATATGTTTATTACAAGGAGACTGAAAAGATACTGGGAAACACATATGGAATGTGTATTCTGCAAGATTTTGAAGCCCTGACGCCAAATTTGCTTGCGCGGACTGTTGAGACCGTTGAAGGTGGTGGGATAGTCATTCTCCTTTTAAAGGGTATGAAGAGTTTGAAACAGTTATACACATTATCAATGGACATACACTCAAGATACCGGACGGAAGCTCATGACGATGTCGTGGCCCGGTTCAATGAACGTTTCATCCTGTCCCTTGGTAGTTGCAACACATGTCTTGTGGTTGATGATGAATTAAACGTGCTTCCTATCTCTGGCGGGAAGGCAGTGACACCTCTACCACCTGTCGATCCAGAGGAGGAAGCCAACTCCCCCGGCAAAAAGGAGTTACAGTCTATAAAGACAGAATTGGAAGACACACAACCAGTAGGGTCATTGATTAAACTAGCCAAGACTGTCGACCAGGCAAAGGCATTGCTCACGTTTGTAGATGCCATTGCAGAAAAAACGTTGCGCAGTACTGTTACCTTAACTGCCGCTCGTGGACGTGGAAAATCAGCAGCTCTCGGTGTGGCTGTTTCTGCTGCCATTGCTCATGGCTATAGTAACATCTTCATCACCTCTCCTAGCCCAGAGAATTTAAAGACCCTCTTTGAGTTCGTATTCAAGGGATTTGATGAATTGGGCTATCTTGATCATGTTGACTATACCATCCTCCAGTCAACAAATCCGGATTTCAACAAAGCCATTGTTAGAGTCAATGTTCATAGGCAACATAGGCAAACTATACAGTATATACAACCCCAAGATGCCTTTGCCTTGGGACAGGCTGAACTCTTGGTCATTGACGAAGCTGCGGCAATTCCTTTACCATTAGTACGAAAATTGATGGGTCCTTACCTTGTGTTTATGGCTTCGACAATCAACGGATATGAGGGTACTGGGCGGTCTCTATCGTTGAAGCTAATACAGCAATTGCGGGAACAGTCAAGAGGAGGGGCCAAGGCGAATGGTGCAGATGATACCGATATCACCGATCGATCTACTGGGAAGCCAGCAAAGAAGGAAGGGGGCTCCCATCCAGGTGGTCGAACACTACGCGAGATAACACTGTCTGAACCAATTCGATACACCCAGGGAGACTCTGTGGAAAAGTGGCTTAATAAACTCCTTTGTCTTGACGCAACTTTGCCAAAATCGAAATTGAATACCCAGGGGTGTCCACATCCATCCCAATGCCAACTGCTTCATGTTAATCGCGATACTCTCTTTTCTTTCCATCCTGTTTCCGAAAAGTTCCTACACCAAATGATGGCCCTATACGTTGCTAGCCATTACAAGAATTCTCCCAACGACCTCCAACTTATGAGCGACGCACCAGCTCACCAGCTCTATGTCCTGGTGCCACCTGTCGATGAGAATGCAACAAAGCTGCCTGAGCCACTATGCGTCATCCAGGTCGCTTTGGAAGGCCAGATAAGCAAACAAAGCGTATTGAACAGCCTAAGCCGTGGTCAAAGAGCGGGTGGTGACCTTATTCCTTGGCTTGTGAGCCAGCAGTTTCAAGATGAGGATTTTGCTGGTCTCTCTGGAGCCCGAATTGTACGAATAGCTACAAACCCCGACTATATTGGTATGGGTTATGGTTCTCGCGCTTTGGAATTGCTTATCGACTTTTTTGAGGGCAAGTTTGCGAGCTTGTCAGAGGATGAGAATCCGGAGCCTGAAGAAATGGTTCGTGTCACAGATGCTGAATTGGAAGAGTCTAACCTTCTGGATGATAATGTCCATGTAAGGGACATCCAGTCAATGCCACCTCTCTTTGGAAAGCTCTCTGAACGACGGCCTAACTCCCTTGACTACGTTGGCGTTAGCTTTGGTCTAACACAGCCTCTACATAAATTCTGGAAGCGGTCCCAGTTCGCACCAGTATATTTGAGGCAGACTGCCAACGACCTTACTGGAGAACATTCCTGTGTCATGATCCGCACTCTTTCAACTGGATCCAATGATGCTTCTTGGCTTGGAGCATTTGTGTCTGATTTCCATAAACGCTTCCAGTCGCTGCTATCATATCAGTTCCGTGAATTCCCTTCGGTCATGTCTTTGAGTATGAGCGAGTCAGCTACCGCAGTCTCGAAGTCCGATCCCTCTCTTAAACCATCTCCTGTTACAAAAACGGATGTCGATGCTGTGTTTTCTCCATTCGACCTTAAACGCCTTGACAGCTACGCGAATAACTTGCTAGACTATCATGTCATTCTGGACCTAGTTCCAGCAATAGCGTCACTTTACTTCTCAGGGCGTTTAACCCCAGGTGTCAATCTCTCGGGAGTCCAACAAACCATTCTTTTGGCCATTGGTCTACAGCGCAAGTCCTTTGACGATGTGGAAAAGGAGCTCAAGGTAGCTGCATCCCAACTCATGGCAATGTTCATTAAAATAATGAGAAAAATATCCACTCATTTCCGTTCTGTACTTGAAGAAGCCGTGGCGGACACATTGCCTACAGCCAATAAAGCTATAGCTCATGGAGAGACAACTGAGGCCCATGATGATAAGATTATCGAAGATCGATTCCGCCCTCTCGAGGTCGATCTGGAGGATGAACTAAAGGAAGGTGGACGAGAAGTTGATGCTGAGCTACGAGAGAAACAGCGAGCTTTGATTGATGCTCTTCCATTGAACCAGTAAGCAGCAACATTATCTATATTGATTGCTGAATTGCAAATACTAATAATGATAATAGATATGAAATTGAACACGGAGCTGCCGGGTGGGAGGAAGCCGAGAGGCAGATTCGTACATCAAAGTCCAAAGACGGCAGCATCAAAACAGTGAGCGTTAAGTCTTCTGCAAAACGAAAGGTTGGTGAGACTGCAAGGGATATATATGAAAAGGAGATTGGTAGCAAGGAGAGGAAGAAGATAAAAAAAGGAACTGAGGGCCGAAGAAGGGATTGATTACTACATCTATAGCCTAGTAATACGGATTGGGTCACTGTAAATAGCATAAATCCGGTGTACTGGGCTTACAAAATCTTTTGCGTAAAAAGACATTTAGACACTTACATGCCACGATGGGCTTTTTAATTTGTGCAAGCCGAAAACTCCTCAATAAATGGAGTAGGATTAAAGACAAGAAAATGCTAATTCTCTTATAATAACAGATACATCCGGCACGCTGTTTAAATACCAATTAAGCTAAGAATAACAAGGATTCCATGGTTTACACATCTTAGCCCTTTCATAGTTCTTCGTGCTCTGGCTGTTCCGGTTCCTTGGAATCTTGGATGGGCTCTTGTTCAGGTTCTGGCTCTGGAGCAGTCTCCTTTGTGGTGTCATCGGACTTGGCAGGCTTTTCCGGTTCATCTACAATCAAAGCGCCGTCCGGAATCTTCTTCTTCTCCATTTCACCAAATTTAACAGCATCAACCCACTTTTCCAAGTCTGCACGGCTAAACCCACCCCTCTCCTCAGGGTTATAGGATTTCCACCACCCCCTTCTACCATTGACAACGATAACCTTCATTTCACCGTCTGCCGGAATGTTGAGCTTTTGTTTGAAGTTTGTGATTTCTTCAGTAACTTCAGGGACGAGGTAGAAGGGGAAAATGTTTGCATGATTGCGGGTGTATTGGTGAGACACTTCACCAAGAGCAGCCATCATTTCGAGTGTTGCAGGTGGGGGTGCATCGGATGGAGAAGCAGGCAGCGGGACAAGCGCAAGTAAGCATGTTCCAGTTGAGTCCGATAGACAGGTTGTTTTGAGATCAGTCCTGGACGCCAGTGGTCTCAGTGGGGGTGTCCTGCGCTCGGGTGTTTCTGTTTCGGGGGTTTCTGAGTCCTCGGAGCCTTGGGTTGTGCTGTCAGGCTTAGCCTTGGAGCTCTCCGTCTCGGAAGTATCTTCTGCCGATTTTGTTGACGTGCTTGATGATTTGGACTTTTCGGCTTTTTTCTTCTGTTGCTTAGGCTTCTCTGCAGCCGGTTTTGAATTTGGCTCAGCTACCCGACTGAGGAACTCCATCATTGGTTTTTTCTTCATTTCACCATCATACAAGATGGACTCCTTATCACCACCAGGCAGGAGAACCAAAGCTGGGAAGCTCGAGACACCAAAAGTTTCCACGGCAGACTTCTCCTTGTTCCTGATCTGACCAAAAGTGATAGAGCCAAGGAAATCAGCAGACAGTGCTTTCAAGGTAGCTCCGGTGGTGCCCTTCTCAGTGAACAAGATTGCCTTCGCAGTCTCATTTCCCTGGGAGAGCCATTCCTCGATGTTCTTGTCGGTGACTCTCTTGACGTGGTTTGGCATGCGGTCAATAACAGCTTCCCCTATGGCCTTTGCGGTTCGGGCTCCTTGGTATTCTTCAACTCTGGGCTTTCCGGGCTTCTGCGAGGGGACAACTATCTTTAGCGTTGGGAAGCCCTTGACACCCATCTGGCCGCAGAAAGCTTTGTTTTTGTCATCATCACAGTCAACGGCCGCTACGTTTGCGAGGCCTTCAAGCTTTTTAGCAGCTTTTTCATACGCTGGCTTCAAGTTCCGGCAGTGACCACACCATGGAGCATAGAACCTAAAAAAGTAAGAAACTGTGTATAAACTAGCCAAATATTGAATTTATCTTCTTACTCGACGATCTATATGAAAAAACCAATTAGCATGGAAACAACAGCTTTCTTCCACGGTAGTTACCACATACAGAGGCATGGTTTGAACGGGAGATCAGATGCTCATAGTTAGTTGCATCGACCTGGAGTACAGGCGACTTTTTGGTATAGAGACCAGAAGCAGGTACTGTCTCCAATGCCAGAGTTACGAGCAAAGCTGCCAAGCTTGACTTCAGCATTCTGAGTAGCTGTGGGTTTAGTAAATTGTTTTCATAGAAATAATCTGTCTGTATAGCTCTCAGTGTACGGTAGAAAAGAGAGGACCCTTATTATATATGTCCTCATTAAACGGCCCTTCTCGACATCGAAACACTCTGTCCTTCTTGAAGTTGCAACGTTGGCTTCTTCTCTAAAAAAACACCTTTGGAAATTACTGCTTAGTAATGGAATACCACGTGATATCAGATTCCTCCGTTGCATATCGTGGGATGAGGCGGACGGCGAAGGAGATGCAACTGCGAGAGTAGGCCAAAATTGACGGCTAAAGGTGATACAGCTGATCTTACAGGAGTGAGGGGGTTTCGACGACCCATCAGTATTCAGGATGGTGGATGGAGAAGGAAAACAAAAGAAACATCTCTTGTGAATACAACTATCTTTGTACAAAATGGGTGAATGGATCTAGATCTGTATGCGGGGAAAAAAAGAACTTCACACATAAGATACATGTGCGATGCTCGCATCTAAAGCCTCTGACTGCGTACTTTTACATGTCCTCGGAAGCGGTGGCACCAGTGATAATTTCAACCAATTCACCGGTAATGGCGGCTTGACGCTGCCTGTTGTAGAGAATTTGGAATCTGGAGGAGGTACGTTAGCGGTGGGGAACCAAACAAAAAAATGCTGTAGATCCATCACTTACCGCTGGATCATGTCACCGGCGTTCTTGGAAGCGTTCTATAAGAGAAAGTGAGTACGATATCACGACATATCAAGTTCGATACAAGATTCTTACCTCCATAGCATTACGACGGGCCTAGAAAGCAAAATATGTTAGCAATTGACTGGTACATACATGTGTTTCGGCAGTTAAAACTTACAGAGATCTCACAGGCGTGTCCTTCGGCCAAAGCCCAGTACAAGCTGTTGGCAAGAGCATACTCACGGAGGTTAGCAAGGACCTCAGAGTCGACCTCAAAAGCGACAACGTTGGCTACAGATGGTTGAATTAGATTAAAAATGGGTCTACCAAGTGAAAAGAGAGGGGGGGAAGACAAACGGGACTGGATGATAGCCTCCTCGGAGAAAGCCTCGACAGTGGCTGGTTCATAGGTCTGAGCATTGATGAACTTGTTGTAGACGATCTTGATGCTGGCGTAGTCGGTGGGTAGCTGGCAGATCTGGTCGGCAATGGCCTGGGCCTCAGCAAAAGTAGGGACGTCCTTGCCCACGCCGGCAAAGCTGAGGACGAGGCTGTCCTCGTTGGATCGGGAGAGCTGGGCCTTGGACTTCTCTCCGAGCACGACGATATCGGCATCGGGCTTCTCCATGATCATTCGTCGGGTAGCCTTACTGAGACCAGAGTGAATACCACCGCAGAGACCCTTATCGGAGCTGGCGACGACGTAGAGGGTCTTGAGGTTCTCGAGAGGCTTGGTCTCTGCCTGCCCGAAGACGGACTCGGATGTCTCACCGTACGCTCTGGAGAGAGTCATGGCACGCTGGGCCTTGTTGAGACGGGTAGAGGCAACAATCTTCATGGTCTTGGTGATCTTCTCGATGTTCTTGATGGACTTCAGTCGGCCCTCGATCTCACGAAGAGTAGCGAAGTTGGCGGCATTGGCGGGAGCAGCACTACACAAACTCATCGTCAGCGATCAATTGGCCCCATTTCCATCGCCAGCTTATATTTCTTCATCAATTCCTGCCACGACATTCGACCTTCTGTAGTCTGACGGCTGTGGGCCTTTTTTCCTGTGCTTACCGGGCGACGGCGGCGGAGCCGGCCTTCCATGCCGGGCGGGCAGTTCGCGAGAGCATCTCGAGGAGAATGAAACGTCGAGACAGAAACGGATGCAGGTGGTCGTGGTCGGTCTTCTTCTTCTTCTTCTTCTTCTCGTCGTCTTTCGTCTTCTTCGTCGTCGTTTTTCCGTCTTTGAAGTTCGAAAAACAAGCCAAAAAGGGCAGCGAGTTGGCGCTAAACCGTTTGCGGAAAAGGCTTGGGCTTGGTTGTTTTTTTTTTTCTTGCGCTTGAAAATAAATAATAAAAGCGAACGACCAAGACGAATTCTTGGAATCAAAACTTCGCCCTTTTTTCTCTCTTCCTTTCTTGCCAGCCTTCTTGTTCCTCTCTTCGCTTTCAGTTTCTCACGGGGCGTGGTTGTTTATATAGCCTCGTCTCTTGTCCGGCCTGCTCGTTCTTCTTCTCATTCGCCTCTCAGATCTTCACTATATCTCCCCTCGGTTGGCTCACAAGGCCTGGCCTTCAGTATACCTTCGTCCGGTCAGCCCGGCTCTCATTTGGTGTGAGACAGTTCTCCTATCGACCCCTTCTGAAGGCACTACAGGTGCCTCAGTTGCAAGCCATGAGCTCCTCAGACGACGATGCGCCGCTTGCCGGCACCATGAAGGCAAATGGGAGCGCTCAAAGTGAGTGAGACACCAATACAGTTATTCGTTGAGCACGAGAGAAGCGCAATCGTTCTCGAGGAACTGGAGGTTATATGATGCCCTGGGCTACGGCTTTTTTGCTAACGATTTGATTTCCCTCGGATTTTTTTTAAAGGGCCTCCGTTGTCCAGTCCTACCGTTCCTAAGTCTACCGGTCTGTCTACTCCCACTAACGGAGTGACTCAGCCTGGAATCTCGATACGCTATGGTCCTGCAAAGGATAATGAGGTTGACATGCAGGATGCGGATGTCAACGGGGTCGTGTCAGCAAAACGGAAATCAAGATCTAGCGCTAGTCGTCCTTCCTACGCAGAGGTGGAAAGCAGCGGAGAGGATGATAAACCATTGGTACGCCAAAGAAAATAAAGAAACACCCTCTCCAAAAAAACCCCCCTCGCAGAAACACCACATTCGGCTGAAGCCCCTCCCTCCCCTACAGTACCAACCGGACTGACTCCCCTCCCAGAGCAAGCGTCGTCGAACTGCTACAAAAGTCGAAGCCTCTGACTCAGACGACGCGCCCTTGATCTCCCACGCTGGAAAAGGAAAGAGAGCATCCATCAGAGCCGAAGAAACTAAGAGGCTTGTGGCTGAAAAGGCCGATATTGAGAAAAGTGCCGCAAAGGAAGCTCAGTCTCTCAGACAGCAGAATCGCCAGGCTGCGGCCAAGAAGAAGGCTGCTGCTAAACCGGCGAAAGCAAAGACTGCCACTACGAACGGTAAAAAGCCTCAGACTAACGGTATCAAAAAATCAGAGTCCAGTGATGAAGACGTTCCTCTCGCACGCAAGGCTCCGGCCAAGAAAGCAGGTGCTGCTGCGAAAACCACAACCGCTACACCGGCAAAAAAGGAAAAGCCTAGTGTAAAGAAAGAGGCCAGTGAGGAAGTCGAAGCTGAAGAGGAAGAAGCGGAAGAAGAGTACAGATGGTGGGAAGACCCTTCCAAGGGCGATGGAACCATCAAGTGGACCACTTTGGAGCACAACGGAGTCGTCTTCCCACCGCCTTACGAACCACTTCCAAAAGACGTTAAAATGAAATATGCTGGTGTCCCGATAACCCTACACCCCGATGCTGAAGAAGTGGCCTCACACTTTGGAACGATGCTCAACTCTACCCACAATGTTGAAAACCCCGTCTTCCAGAAGAACTTCTTCAATGACTTCCAGGCAATTATCAAGAAGACTGGTGGAGCGAAGGACCCCCAAGGCAAGCCAGTGCAGGTCAAGGAGTTCGCCAAGTGTGATTTCGTGCCAATTTTCGAACACCACGAGAAATTGCGCGCTCAGAAGAAGGCCATGACTGCGGCGGAGAAGAAAGCAGCCAAGGCTGAAAAGGACGCCGCCGAAGCCCCATATATGTACTGTATGTGGGATGGACGAAAGCAAAAGGTTGGTAACTTCCGTGTCGAACCTCCCGCTCTCTTCCGTGGCCGTGGAGAGCATCCAAAGACCGGTACGGTGAAAACCCGTGTCCAGCCTGAACAAATCACTATAAACATTGGCAAGGACGCACCTGTCCCAGCACCGCCTGAAGGCCATCGCTGGAAAGAAGTTAGACATGACCAAGAAGGCACATGGCTGGCCATGTGGCAAGAAAATGTCAACGGAAACTACAAGTACGTGATGCTGGCTGCCAACTCAGACGTCAAGGGTCAGAGTGACTACAAAAAGTTTGAGAAAGCTCGAGAGCTCAAGGTTCGTACTCTTATATTTTGGTACCGTTTTCCCCCAGGTGTCAGGTGTATACTGATTCACTTTCTATCCGCTCTAGAAACACATTGATCGAATCCGTAAAGACTACAAAAAGGGTCTTAAGGATGAGCTCATGGTCAACCGGCAACGAGCTACGGCTGTCTACCTCATCGATCAATTTGCCCTTCGTGCTGGGAACGAGAAAGGTGAAGATGAGGCGGACACCGTTGGCTGCTGCTCTCTCAAGTTTGAACATGTTACATTGAAACCACCAAACACTGTCGTTTTCGACTTCCTCGGAAAAGACAGCATTAGGTATTACGATGAAGTTGAGGTTGACCCTCAAGTATTTAAGAATCTCAAGATTTTCAAGAAAGCTCCAAAGAAAGAAGGTGATGAAATATTCGATCGGCTCACGGTATGCATGCAGATCACATACATTTATGAAATTCTTGCTAACTTCTTATCAACAGACTTCAGCTCTCAACAAGCACCTATCCAACTACATGCCTGGACTTACTGCGAAAGTCTTCCGTACCTACAACGCCTCCTACACCATGGCAACTCTCTTGAAGAAAATGTCCGCAACCGGGACAATCCCAGAGAAAGTTAAGCAGTATAACGATGCAAATCGTGAGGTCGCCATCCTTTGTAACCATAAACGTACTGTTGCAGCTAGTCACGCCAACCAGATGGAGAAACTCGGTGATAGGGTAAGCAAACGTCTTTCATGTCTATCTGATAATCCGGCTTCTTTGGCAAGAATACGCCTAACCCAGCTATAGATCAAAGGACTACAGTACCAGAAATGGCGGATCAAGCAGATGATGCTCGATATTGATTCCAAGATAAAAAAGAAGAAGGGCGCAGCTTACTTTGAGCTAGATGACGATCTAGACATGGAGTGGATCAAGGAGCACCAGGCTTTCCTTGTAGAGGAGCTTCGCCAAAAGATACGCAAGAAGTTCGACAAAGAGAACGAAAAGCGAGTTGCGGATGGAGAAAAGGAGATGAAAGCTAAAGAACTGGAAGAACGTCTCAAGGCTGCCGATGAGCTTGAGGCAAAATACAAGAAGGAGAACAAAACGAAAAAGGTGGAGGCTGAGGGCAGGGGTCCTACGGTCGAGAAGTTCGAAGGCCAAATCAGCAAGATTGACCAGCGTATTGAGAATATGTTGCTTCAAGCCGAAGACAAGGAGAATAACAAGGAAGTTGCCCTTGGCACATCGAAGCTTGTAAGTATTTTCCGGCCCAACCTCTGCTCGTTTCGTCATTCCTAGAGGAGCAAATCGCTAACGCCACTTCGTAACACAGAATTACATAGATCCCCGCTTGACCGTGGTATTCTCCAAAAAGTTCAACGTCCCAATCGAGAAGTTCTTTTCGAAGACTATGCGTGAGAAGTTTGACTGGGCAATCAAGTCGGTAGACGAAGATTGGGAGTTCTGATTTTTTTTTTTTTTTCCATTTTCTTTGTTTGGTCTTTCTTCTCCCTTTGGTGTTCTTCCTTGCATAGCAGTGTTTTTTTGTACTTTTATATCATGGACAGCCTCGCAGGCTGCAGTTTTTTTTTCCTTTCTCTTTCATCTTGTTTTATATATTTAGTTTTCAACCTGGCAGCCTTGCCTTGACAGCGATGAGTCTATGACGGGCCCAAAAAACAGCACCATCTTTGAAGAAACAATGTACATTCCATCGCTGAATATGAATTTCATCCTAGTTAAGGTCCTGTATCCATTATATTATTAACCTTGTTGAACGGAAAAGCGTCTTCAAACTGGACTTTGTTTTCGTAATGACGTATTGATTATATTACAACAGGGGTATAAAAAAGGGCAACAAGGCTGAAGCAGGAAGAGAAAAAAGAGAGAGAAGCTAGACTGCCCATGGAGCGAAAGGAAGCGATCTTGGGGTGCAGGAAAAGCGGAAAAGGGGGGGAGGAAAAAGAAAAAGAAACTTGGGCATCCATGCATCCATAGATCTTCTGTATATATATGTATATCCCGTCTCGAGAACGAAAGCAAAAATGCAAAACCGCGAAGTAAAAGAATTTCTCATCTATCCAAGTAATAAGAAAAAAAAAAGAAGAAGAAACAAGTCACACCATATCCAGCTGAGCAGAGAGCATGTAATCGCGAATCAAGGCCACCAGTTCATCCGTTCGTAACTTTTGATAACACTACTAAGCCAGTCCGGATCAAGTTTCTCTTTCAGATATGTAAAGCCGGTAGTCTGTTCGAACAGGGATCCATCGATGGTAGTATCGGCGTCTTTGAGAACTTCTTTCTCCAGAAAGGGGCTGATGGGTCCGGAGGTGGTAATCCCTTTGGCCTGCAATAGTTCGGACCACACTTCTAGAGTTTCCTCGTTCATCTCGTCCAGTACCTGCTCCTGGTTCATTTTAGCGAATTGGCTCATCAAAGAACCCAGGAACTCGCACTTGATGCCAAAATTGCGTTCGAGAGCGTCGGCAAGGTCACCCTTTAGCGTATTGTTGTGGTCGACTATGTTGAAGACGGTAGGGAATGGTGGGTCCTGGTTTGGAGGCAGAGGACCTTTGGAGGCTCGCCATGTTGCAGCTGTCCAGAGAGCGCGAGCCGCGTCTACTACCCAGACGGTGTTGAGCGGCCGTTCTTTGGCGTAGAGGAAGGTCAGCGGGCGGCCGATCTCCTTGTATGTCCTCCCCACGCAGATGACGGATGTCAGCAGTCCGGTGTCGTAGTCACCGTACACATAAGGGAATCGCAATATGGCGAGGTTCAGGCCCTCTACCTTCCCGAGATCTTCCTCCGTAGTGACTTTCCACTTGGTGAGTTTCTGCAATGGCTTCAGCCTGTCTGATTCCTTGCGTGGCTTCTCGTCGAACTTGTAGATTGCGGCAGACGAGCACTCGACAAAGGCCTTGATCCCTCGTCGAGCAGCCTCTTTACCGAGCGCTAGAGACAACGCATGGCTACGCAGACGGTAGACGTCATCTGGATGGGAGTATCGAGATTCGCCGCCGCAATTTATAACGAGGTCGAACTGGGCGCCGTTTGAACGGTCAAAGACACGGGGGAGTGATTCTATCAGACAGTCAGAATGGATTACTGCAGAGGCCGAGAAGGGGGGGGGGGAAGAGGACGGCGTACGCTCACGGCTTGCATCTGCCTGGACAAAACGGTCTTTGCATGCTTCAGTGATCTCGGGAGAAAGCCATGCAAGCTGAGGAAGCAGTTTGTCCACCACCCGCAGCTCTGAGGCGAGGTTGTTCTTGTGTATATGATGAACGAGATGACGGCCGATGAAACCTGTTTAAGGGCAAGTAAAGACAAGATAAATCAGCTTCCAGCTCAACACCTCCTTTTTGTTTCTCTCTTCTTCTTTTCCTCTCTTTGCCTTCTCTTTTTGTTATATATAAAGAAAGATATGGTGGTTTTCTTTGCGTACCTAGCCCGCCAACAACCAGCACACTCGGTTTATCGCTCGACATGGCTGCTCTTTTTTTTTCCTATATAGCGGATGGGATATAAAAGACGAATTGGCCGGACGACGGCGGGTTATATATATGAAAAAAGTAAAAGAAAAAGCACACGAGCAAGTTCTTCCTCCTTTTTGCCTCTCTCTCTCTCTCACACACTCTCTCACTCTTTTTTTTCCCCGTCGTTCTAACCAGCCAGTTGCTAGTTCCGGGATGAAATTACCCCGACAGATGAGGATCTCTGGTGCTGGCTCAGGGGATTGATGCAGTTATCTGGTCGAAAATCCAGAGTCAGGAGACGTATCAAAGGCCGTTCGAACGTGAGACGCTGACTTCAAAAACGACAGGATAGGGGTTAGACGTGGGGTTATTCGCTCTCTCTCTCTCTCTCTCTCTCGCTCTCTTTCGTTCCTGTTTCTCTTTCGATGGGCTGCAGGAGAAGTTGATATTCCGGGCTGACGGTTTGAGCAGGCAACGCTGGCTCAAGTCTCGCAGAGCACTCGAGAGGTTCAATGACGGTTTCTTCCAGCAGGAGATTTTTCAGGCAAAACTCGTTGGCAAAGAAGGGTGGGGGGGCAAGTTGAATTAGTAGTCTCGGTATAGGGAGGACGTGTATTTGCTTTTTCAACCTTTCTCCTGCTGAATTGGCGGCTTGAACCCACTTATATGACATGCATCATCGGATACCACAAGAAACAGGGGTTGATCCCGCAGCGCAGACGAGGAAGAGACGCAAGCCAGGTCGAGCGAGAACCAGCTAGATGGCGCCAGGCTAGCTATCGAGATCCCCCTCGCCTTAATGAAAGGGAGGGGGGGAGAGAGAGGTGGGAGAGGCCTGACCGCAAGGGTCTAATTTATACGATCTATATATCTGTATAGCCCTATATCACCCGCCGGGTGTAACTCCTATATATTCGATATAAGTTTACGAATGCGACTTGCAGGGCCCACGAACGGTGTAATTTACTGGCGTACCAGGCCTGTACCACTTTGTCTGTTGGTCACACCGACAATTTCGTTCTCTCTCTCTCTCTCTCTCTCTCTCTCTTTTCTTTTCTTGTCTTGCTTTTCCCGTGTCTATCGAGGCGAAAGGGGGCATCGTGCTGGTATCGATTCTTCTTCGGGGCGGTGGACGTGCGGAGCCAGCCCATCATAAAACGTTTCTCCTCAGCTGACGGGCTTTATATTATGTATTTTTTTTTATATACCCAGAGCATCGTATTATTTATTTAACTGTCGTCATCGATCCGTCGCCTGTCTCCTTTTTTTTTTTTTGTTGGATCGGGTTGGTTGCAGGATAATCGTTTGAAACCAGGGGCCGCGACTGGGAAAGAAACATCAGAAAAATAAATAAATAAATAATAAACAAATAATATAATAGCACATAATATTCTAGAAGGAAATAGATCCATGCAATGCAGGTAAGATTAAAAGGAGGGAGGGACAAGCCATTGAAGACGTTACCGACAATATATTGGTCAAAAGGACCCTTGCATATCCTCTGCATCTCACAAGTCAGCGACTATTCTCCGTTATTGGTCGCCCGGAAAAAAGGGGCGCATGCGAAGAGACAGACTGTCGGGAACGCGACATGGGCTGGCATCATCTTATCTTACATATTGAAATCTCGCTGTCCTTCCATCTGGAGCTAATAATAATAATAACAATATTAATTAATAAATAATAAGTAAAATCGAACTTGAGAGGCTGGGATCGATCGAGCTGGGAAAAAAGCAAGCCCCTGAACCCCCTAACGAATTCCGCCTGCTCCAACGTGATATCGTTCCCCTTTTAACGCCCAGGATATATGCAATATATGTTGGTGACGAAGTAAATGTTGGTGAACCCCAGGAAGCTCCAGGCTCGTTTCCAATCTTCAGGGTGTCGGATGTTGGAGGCACCAACTACATCATTCTATTTCGCTCATCTTCCAGACAGGTTCCTGGCTCGAGATGGGCTCTGTTCCTCAGGATCACACTCAGTTCGGGCTTCTATTGATAGATGCAGAACCATAAACAAGATACACTGAGACAAGCCACCCCCGGTAATCTGTTCAGCTGGTGTTCTATGTAGATCTGGGGTGTGCTCAGAACGTTTGCATATCTGTGAGCCCGAACTGCGTTGCTAGCCATGTCGATACACGTAAGACTGTTCCAGAATGCCGTCTTCCCGCAGCTGAGGCTGTTGATCTACCAATACGAACAACCCCAGTCCCAAATGAAAGCATCTCTCGAAGGATCTCGGAATTTGTCGCTGGATGAGACGGCTTCTCTACTCCACCCATCAATCCTCTCGGTTTCAATGGCATGGCAAGATGTTTCTTATCAATTCTTTGTCCTCGTTCCCATCAAACAAACTTGCTCTGAAAGTCCTGGTGATATTTCACCGGTGTTTCCGATGACTGGAATGATAATGGCAGATTTATGCACTATACCGCTCGCTGCGTTAGCCTTGCATGGCCGAGCGCAACGCTCTGCCAAACCACATGGAATGGATGGCAGTGTTTTAAGATGGCCATTTTGCACTTCCTCTCCGAGGATAGATAGGGGTATTTCAGAACTGAGAACTGGCCAAGAAAGATGTCTTTATCTGTTTCTGGCTTGTCGTTAAACACGCTGTCCGCCTTGTACGGTAGCACCATAGCTCGATGGCATCTCCCCTGATTTGGTCTCACCTAACTGCCCATTGGGCAAAATACTTATAGCCAAAGGGCATATAAGCGTATAATGAGGGAGAGGGCATTGTTTCACGCACCAGTGACTCGTGTCCAGGGCCAGTCCTCTGATAGATGCTTGACTCTGCCCGACTAGTAGGTAGACTTGACAGCACCACGCCTTGTATGTATAGGATCCGGGCTCGGCTATCCCGAAATTAACTTGCACACAGAGTAAAACTGTGTATATGTAACCAGTCCTTTGTGGCAGCAAAGACAAGCCACGGCAGCCCCGAAGCTTGGCTAGAATATGCTCAAGGTAGGGGCGGCTTCTCCTACATCAACTAGCTGACGCGCCAACTATAATCATTAGCGAAGATGCATGTACAGCTCAAGGGTGCAAGCCTTGCAATCTCTTATTGCGAACTCCGTATAGGGACCAACTTGCTTTGCCCTGGTGGACTTGAAAGGCGTTCTGCTGTTCTGGAACGTCGGGTCTCCTGTGGGGCTGGCCGGCCCGAGCCTATCTTTAAACATCTATATTAAAAATGTTTTCTGAGGTAACATACATATATTTATGCTGGATGGTAAAGTATATAATGGGGAAGAAGTTGCACTTGAGGGAAATATGGTAATCTCACCGGCAAATTTCTGTATCTCTGGTGTTCGGTTACTAAATCTGCTTCGCGACGGAGACAATTCTTCCACCGGCTCGACGTCATCCAAGTTAGCCATGAGCCCAGTGTGATCTGTAACTCAGCATTCCAGGCTTGCATACGTGCTCTCATTTCTTCTGCTTCGACGACTGCTCCCACGCCAATCCTCGTCAGGGCCTTAACCACAAGTTAGTTCCCCATGATAGAACACCTTATCAAGGCGTTTAGGTCGAAAGGTCTCCTATTTATCAGAAGTACGCTGATTCCCCCAGGTTGAGCTCATCGCCTTCGGATTGCTCTCCAGTTGAGATAAGAGTAAGGTTCCATATGGTGTGTCAAATCCACGAGTGCCATGGCTGGTTATTGAGAAACATTCCTGCACCCACTTTGTTTTTTCTGAAACACAATTGTGACTGGCGACGGGTCTTTGATATACAGTGGGAGAAACGACCTTATGCAAGTGATCCAATGCTGCGTCCATTCGTTCCTGGGTGAACGGAGCAAAAGCATCGATACTCCATGGGGACGATAAGACGTAGAATATTAAATTTATTCTCAGGAGGGTCATTAATAACCCGCTTTTTCGTAGGCGAGACTGTTCCAGTAGCACAATTACTTGCTATGGCGGTTGGATAAGCTCCCACTCCTGGGCATAACTTCCATATACACCATGTATACGTTCTAGGTTTATAGTATTCATCCAGCATGAAGGGAAAGTTTTCTGGCGGCTAAAATTCAGACGGCCATCCTCAACCATTTGGGTATCAAAAGAGACGTGGACTAATATTACCTTCAGTGCAAGAAATGTAGCTCTCCCTCCACCAGAGCCCACGAAATGGACCCGGAATGTGTATTGGCGTTTGAATAAATAGATATTTCAAAGAAAGAAGTGGGTCTGATCTGTTTACATCTGGATGTATTATGAGAGTGAGATTAACAACTTGCTTTGAATGAGTGCTGTATCATTACCTAGTTGCTGATTTGTTGATCTGGCGAAATAGTAAACCATGGCAGGGTGTAAGGGGTCCTTTCTCTCTATAAGTGAAGAATATGTTCATAGGGACAGCAATAGCCCATAGAGCCACACACAATGAAGGCTACTACCTGCAAGTTTGTTACTGTATAGAGATATCGTTGAGGTTCGCATCTTAGAATGATGGTTCAGAACAATGGTTGAGCTAAAGGTAAGTATCCAAAAATATTCCTAGTCAATGTTTGCTAACTAGTATACATACACGAGCACGACACATCCATTTTTGTTTCGTAAGGTTTCATGGATGAAGCGAGGACCCTTTACCAGCATAGGTTGAAAGGGTTGTGGAAGCAATAGCTGGAAAATGGCAAATGGCAAATAGCAAGAAGTAACCTGTCTGAAAGGGTTGTCTGTTGGGACGGGGAACGTACCCAACGCTGAATCTCCAGTTTTCAAGGAACATTTTGAACCATCAAGACACCATTTTTTAATTTTAGTAGATTTCGAACAAGAGAGAAGTAATAGGGTTAAAATAGGACGGGCGGGAAGCTATATCTCCCCATACTTTTCGTTAGTCGTAATATGGAATTCTTCATATATACCCAAAAAATCAAGATAGAGAGTATCTCGTTGAGCATATAATATTATATGTATGAAGTTATAGTTGGTATTTCAGCGGGGGTTTAAGAGGTTTAGGGCTTTTTGTAGCTCTTTAATCGCAGTATTGACATCATCAAAATTGAGCGCAGACACCGCCCACCGTGCATGCTTTTGAGCATTGGAGATTGCCTCTTCGTCAACAGCCTGGCCAGAGGAGATAGCCATAGGAGTTGATGAAGAGATGGGTAGTGATTCTTTAGGAAGCCGGGTCACTGGAGCTACCATTGGGGCTTTTGGGTGAGATATTCTATCAAACCCAGCCCCGGGAGACGTACGTGGGGGAGGGCCCAGGGCATGGGACTCAGTGGGAGGAAATTCGGGTTCAGGGACCGGTGAAGGAAATGACTGAAGAATATTAGCTGAAGAGAAGTCAGAAGCTGGTCCCATTTGAGAGGGTAAATCGGCATTGCTTGATGCAGGAGATGGAAAATCAGAGGGCGCCGCAGGGAGGTCGGGAACGGTGGCTCGGGAGAGCTGTGAGGGTCTTTGCCGTAAATGTTCTTCAAAATCTACCATCCCCGGCGGTATACTAATCGGAGGACTTGGAATACCACTGCCCGGTGCGCTTGTGGGTGCACTCGGGATGTTGATGGCGCCCGTGGAACGGGGGGGAGGCGCGGCAGACGAAGAACGTGAAGGATGGAGAGACTCGTTCAAGGACGATTGTGCAGCCAGTTTACTCTGAACCTTGTCAAATTCATCTGGAATATCCTCAACAGAAGCTTGTCGACTTTTTCTGGTGTTTTCTGGCATATCTTGGGCTTCACTTCCAACTACTGTTCCCCCAGTTGCGCCAGCCAAATGGCCACCCCCTTCGGATTCTTGCACATTTTCCGCATTTTTAGGATTGGAGAGGTTTGGATCCTCCCCAGCCTTTATAGCCTTCACTATACGGACAGCATGATATTTAGCATATTTGATTTTCGAGGCTGTCTCGGCGTCAGGCTGACCCCATGCTTGGCCCAAGTCCAAGAATGTGGCTGCTGCCTGGAAGGTGTCGGCAGTTTGCCTACCAACTCATTAGTATCATCCAAATATTTTAGAAGATAAATAATACAAATGAACTCACAGTGAAGCTTTATTTGCCCGAACTGCATTCTCTGCTCGTTGAAATGTTTCCAACGCGAATTGCTCCACGTATGCCTGGCCTGCAGTGTCGTCGGTTATCGTATCGTCATGAGAATGTTCCTTTTTAAACTAAGACCAACAAACGATGTTAGCACACCTAGAATATGTCACTATGAAGCCTCTGGTGTGTTAGGCAAAGCTCTGTGGCTGTTGTGGTACTCGTACCTTCTCCAGTTTATCCATGAGATCAGTAGTGTATTTCAAACATTCTTCGTCTGAGTTATGGAGATTTTTATCCAGAATCTGAGTGACTGCCCAGAAATTACCTGTGATTCGTATTTCTGTTAGATTTCAATTCTATGCAGAGATATTTATGTTGCTGGCTAGAGATGTCGGCAGGAGCAACATACACCAGTATGAAATGGTCGGCTTTGCTTTCTCAAGCTGCGCAGCCCGGGTCACGAAACGGCTAATATCAGCCGACTTTAGCCCGGCAGGGATGCTTGTTGACATCTTGATGCTTGATGCAGGAAGAATTGGTGATATTAATGGCAAACAAAATGACGATGTCTTTCTGCAGGCCAAAAAGAGCTGCAAAAAGCGTGGGGGAACAAATGACGTTAAGGGCAGCTTAGTAAGCGTGTATAACCCACTCGATATAAAATCTAGATGATAAAAACTACAGGTGTGTGGCCTTGAGAATCCTCATCCATCACCAATACCCCACGAGCCTATTCCTATCCGCTCCTCTGAAAGGATCTCAACCTCGATACAATCTTCGACTTGACCACTTGGCCCACCGATGCGTTCAACGACTAGCCATATGCCACCTCTCCGTTCAAATTCTGGCTGTAGATCTACTACTTCAATGCGGGCACCTCTCACGTCATCACTAAAATTCCCATCTCCAGACCCGGCAAGAATTTCTTTATACGGTCCTTGTCCAAGCTCTAGGGTCATAAGAATTGGAGAAGGGGCAGCGTTGCGACCCCCAATTGAGGATCCGCGGCGCCTGCATATTAATTTCAATCGGGCTAGGCGAGGGATAGTAATTGGAGCTAGAATTCGGTCCGTACCTGGAGGAAAGATGCCGGTACCAGATTTCATGACCAAGTTTCCCGCCCCTTCTGCCGGTAGTGGCTTGACAAAGCAGGGTGAGGTGGTGGAAATACACAGCGTGAATTTGCCACGTTGATCCGGGGTAAATGTTGAGCAAACGACAGTATAAAGTCCCTTTTCCACACCCCTTTGTTCTGCTAAGGCGAAACCGCGACGATAATCACCACTACCAACCACTATATCTCGTGAGCGAACACACGCTACTCGGCCCCCGTTTGACCAAATAAGGCTCACATGGACTGCGAATCCAGGGTCCTCTGCTTCCAGGAGGATATTAACATCGCATTTCTCAAGGATCTGTAGCTGGAACTGTGGGTTTTCGGGATATCTCTCGGATTCAGCATTGCCACCAGCCGTGGACGTGGTCCAAGCTCCGGATAATTTTTTAACATGGGAGTATATCTCTTTCGCGGGATTGACGGTAATTGGAGACATTGCAAAGGCGGAAATAGAGAAACTATAAAGTGACCTCCGTAGAGATTGCTCTGACACTACAACAGTATATGTCGTATTAGGCGGCATCTCAAGCATCATCACCGTATTTGGTGAATCAACGTAGGGTCCACGGCGTAGGGCGCCGTCTGCTAGATAGACTCGGCTTCCATTTTTGTCAAACACATAAAGACTGATGAACCCGGCTTGTTCAATATCAGGAGCCACTTCTAAAAGTTGATTTGCATTTTTCTTGTAATCCCCGGTTTTAAAATGCTTACCCAGCAACAACCATACCGTCCCTCCGGCCTTAGTGGAAACAGCAAACTGGGGATTTTCTGCAAAGCATCCTGCAACTATACTCACAGATGATAAGTCCCAGCGAAAGTGGATATCCTGGCGGTAGCGGAATAGAGTAGGGTTCCAATTAAGATACAGGTTATCGAAATTTTGGAGAACGTCGTCAAACGCCATCCAAAATGTGCCTGGGGCAGTAGTCGAGGGATGTGATGGTTCAGGCTCAGAGGTATCACTCAGACTATGACTCGCTCTAAGTTGGCCTACGCCTTTCCAAACAGGCCCGGCGGCCCATGGGTTTTTGATGAGCAATTGGCGAACCCCATCCCTCTCTTGCAAGTTTAATACTGCATAGTCGTGTAAGCTTATAAGGCCAAGCTCATTTTCTTCATACTCTGTCAATTTTCCGGTACCTAGTGTTAGTAGAATATCGCCTGATTTGAAGAACTTGGCAAGGCGTTGCCACAAATGGTCAGGAGCTAGTTCATCATGGTGTAGAAAGACCTGTTCAGGGATCCAGCCAGTTAGAACCCAGAGGTCAGTACCGGAATTGCTTCCTGGAAAGTCGTAGCCACCTCTGACTTTCAAATAGGCTTTTTCAACTAACGCTGGCCATATGGCCGTAGGGTTGTTCCTATCTATCACGTGGAGGGATCGTAGGGTTTTTGAAGATGGAAGCATATCATCAATGACGACCTTTCGGTAACACCCATTGAAGTAAAGACGGAATATATACTTCCCAGAGGGGGAGATGCATGGAACTTTGCCATCCTCAGATGGGTACATCTTTACAGAGCGAACTAGCTGTAGGGTTTATTATTAGACAAAATCCATTTCAGAACACATGGATCCTTGGGACGTACCTGAGGAACTCCTTCTTTCCCTGGTGACGCCCCTGTGCAAAGGCTTGCCACAACAGAGCAGTCCGTGGTTACATCTTGGACTAAGTCCATGGGGTTTGGGCCCAGCAATATCGGAGCGCCTGTTGTGTGGTGACCCAAGATCTCCGAAGGTCGCTTCCAGCCATCAAATATTTCTCGCTGGACAGGGCATATTTGAAGATCAGAAAGATCACTTTATTGTAGCTTGGTGAGTAGCTGTTCATGTAATTTTCTAGAGAGAGAATATTCTTACAGGAATAATCCACCTTCCTCGTCAGCCTGAAACTCTCCAGGGTCAGGAACTGCTGTTGCTGACCAAGGTGGAAAGACAAATCCATTTAGCTTGGAGTTTTCGAGCAGTATAATCTGTTCACGGTTAGACTGTGTTCTCGTAGAGGTTGGCTCTCTATCCACTAAGTCTGGCTGCGAAGAGGGTATCACTGAAGGCACCAGGGCTGGTAGCCTGTCTCCATCTTTAGACTGCTTGATCCTTTCGGCTAGAGTGAGATATTCCTTGCACTTTGAATCAAATAGTCTTCTTTCCACTGGATCATCAGCCAGCCTAAGTGCATTCATATAATGCTCTGCCACGTTAATTGCAGCTTCCAAGGCCTGTTTCTGCGTCGACGCCAATCGTACATCTTTCTCAGCCTCCTATGAGTCGGAACGTCAGCCGAGTTGAATTCCATTGCCATGCAAATTGTCATGCAGACAACGGAAGCAATACCAATGCCTGGGATTTGATGTCTCTCAACTGGGACATCTCAGTAACGTTGTGAGGTCTATCAGCTCATAGTAGCTTGTGTACCTCGAGAGACAACTATGGCCGAGGCAGCTGCGTCAAGAGAGCCTCTTTCTCTTCTCTTGCCGTGCACAGAAGTGTATGTGACGTGTATAACCCTCCCCGTTCATCGAAAAATGCACAATGATATTATCTCTCTTGACGTTGAAGATGTTTAGTTCCCCCCCACGCGCCGAAAACTTGTCTACGTCCTGCTTATGTAATACACTCGGATCCCACAGGCGCCACTAAGTTATGCCTCGGCTCTGAAGGAAATATTTAGTTTATGCGGGTTCCTGCCGGTTTTCGTACTTAGAAGCATGAATAGTTCAGCACCCCCAACGGCTGCAGAGCTGAACATCGACGGAGCCGGTTTATTTGCGTGAGTTAGGTGCCGGTTTATTTGCGTGAGTTACGTATAGGCCTGTTATATTCTTTATATAATTCTGCACCACCCATTTTCCTTATTTAAAATACTCTTACAACTGTTTCTTTGAAACAACAGCCGTCATATTCAGCCCTCATGTCCGGTCAATCGAAGCTTTCTCCCTGGCAAAGCGCTGTCGCAGGGGCGACTGGAGCTGTCGTTGCAAATGCTCTTGTATACCCGTTAGACATGTAAGATTATATATCCGATTGTCCTCGTTAATCTTGCAGTTCTAAGCTTCGGCAGCACGGTCACAACTAACCCGGTATGTCGTAACCTGCAGCGTAAAGACACGATTACAAGTCCAAGTCAAATCCCAGAAACTCCCGAACAATGATTCTACCGACGGCGCAGTGCATTACGATTCTACAATTGACGCCATAAAGAAGATCCTCGCCGATGAAGGCATTTCTGGACTTTACTCCGGAATCAACGGCTCTCTTATAGGGGTGGCGTCGACAAACTTCGCATACTTCTATTGGTATTCTATCGTCCGAACCCTATATATGAAGTCAAGGCCAAACCAGAAACTCGGTACTGCTGCTGAGCTTGCCCTTGGTGCTGTTGCGGGAGCAATCGCCCAGGTATTCACCATTCCTGTTGCGGTAATCACAACGAGGCAGCAAACGCAGCCGAAGGGAGAGAAGAAGGGGCTCCTTGACACCGGCAGAGAGGTCGTGAATAGCGAGGATGGGTGGAGTGGGCTATGGAGAGGACTGAAAGCCAGCCTTGTCCTTGTTGTCAACCCAGCGATAACCTACGGGGCCTATCAACGGCTTAGAGAGATTATATTTCCTGGAAAGAAAAACTTACGACCCCTGGAAGCATTTTGTGAGTATTCCGTCCCGCATTAAATCTCAGAACATAGCTAACGTGATTTTCTGCAAAGTGCTGGGAGCCATGTCGAAGAGTTTAGCCACAATCATCACCCAACCATTGATTGTAGCCAAGGTTGGCCTGCAGTCTCGCCCACCGCCCTCCAGAAAAGGGAAGCCATTCAAGAGCTTTGTGGAGGTAATGCGTTACATCATCGAGCATGAAGGTGCTCTAGGACTATTCAAGGGCATCGGCCCACAGATCATGAAAGGACTTCTGGTCCAGGGCCTTTTAATGATGACCAAGGAGAGGTAAGGTTTCCTATAGGCCTGAATTCGCTTTGTAGACATATTGCTTACCACAAAATTATAGGATCGAGCTGCTCTTTATCTTATTATTTGCCTACCTGCAAACCCTGAGGAAGGAGAGACTTCAGAAGATTGCTGATGCAGCGGCAGCTAAAGCAAAGGAGTCTCTACCAGTCACCCTAAAATAAAATATAGGCAGAACTCTATGTTCAATTATTGGTTTACATATGTACACAGGCTTGATTGTTTTGTTAGATTCAAGGGTAGTTATCCTCTAATTTTTGGCTAACAAGCTGTATATTTTAAGATAAATAGATTTACCTTCACATATCAATGCAAGGGTAGGCTTTCTTCTAATGGGAACCTGCTTTCGTCTAATGGGAACCTGCTTTCGTCTGTGGTACGAATATTTATATGTCAAAATAAAGTCTGTTCGACAATGCCAAGGCCTGCCTCCCTAACTTTAAGCGTTTATATTTTTATATTTTTTAACTGGGAGGAACGCAAGAACGCTTAAGAACAACACCAACGGCGAGATATGCTACCCACATTCATTACTACTATAATTAACACTATTGGGGGCCGAAGTATAAACTATACTTTTGTTAAAAATAACACAATCCTTTAAGTCGCTATCATCATCATGCGATGGCTATTCTGGACATCCGAGAATGACAAGGATGAATGCAAATGCAACAACAAACCTAGCTCCAATAGCGACGAGAAACCCTCAATCATCTTAAATTCCAGTAAGGATTGGAATGCATTATCCAATGCCACAAATTGGTCACACTTCCTTGAACCATCAAATCTTATCCCTACCGTTCTTTTGACCAGCGGAATCCTATTTGCTGTTCGAATACATCGCCGATACCTACGCCGTATTCCCGAAGCAACCAACATATCACCTTCCTACCTTCGACAGCGAAGCATACTGGGTAAAGTCACGAGTGTAGGGGACGGAGATAATTTTCGGATCTACCATACACCTGGTGGTATGCTGGCTGGTTGGGGATGGCTTAGAAAAGTTCCTACTTCTAAGAAGGAACTGAAGAACAACACTGTATGGAAGGCTCTTTACTTCTCATTCTTCCGCGATAGATAGCTCTACATGAAAATTTTCTAACTTATAGACAGATTCACATCCGTATTGCAGGTGTTGATGCGCCTGAACTAGCTCACTTCGGACGCCCATCCCAACCGTTTGGCGAAGAGGCACATACATGGCTAACGAATCGGCTTATCGGGCGCAGAATACGTGCTTATGTATATCGTCCTGACCAGTACAGCCGTGTTGTGGCGACCGTTTATGCTTATCGATTCCTATTCTTCCCTCAGGATATCGGATTGCAAATGTTGCGAGAAGGCCTGGCAACAATTTATGAGGCTAAGTCTGGCGCAGAGTTCGGCGGACCAAAACAGGAAAAGAAGTATAGAGATGCTGAGGCGTTGGCTAAAAAGAAGGGGAAAGGGCTTTGGAAAGCGAAGGCCTCGAGTGACTGGGAAAGCCCCAGGGATTTCAAGTCTAGAATGAACGCCATAGACCAGGGCAAGGGCTCTACGTGATTGAAGAGTGACGACTGTGAAATTATGACCAATACCTTCTTGATTTGAGCGTTCTAGCGTTGAAAGATTTCATTGGAATAGTTGATACTATGTATGATGATGATTATATGGTTTCTAGCAGTCCATGTATCTATGGTGATATGTATTTGTTAACGATATTGCACTTGAAAGGGAGTGAGAGAAAAAAATTGCTGTCCTTATCCAAAGGCATAGATATTTAAAGTGACATGGGTATCAACAGAACCGTCTATCAATTTCGGCAAACAACTTTGGGCTAATGTCGTCACTCGAATTGCCCTCGATACGCAAAACGCATCCCTTTCCTTCATAATGATCCAGTAGTGGCTTGCTAGTCTCTTCAAATTTCTTGAATCTTTGCTTCCATACCTCCGTGGAGTCATCGTCCCTTTGCACAAGCGGTTCTCCTGTTATATCATCCTTCCCAGGCACCTTTGGCGCATTAAAATCAGTGTTATATACCCTGCCAGATCCAGGATGAACCCATCGAGACGCTATCCTCGACAATATAATGGCCGGCGGTGTAAGAAGATGGACAACTAGATTGATGGGGACAAGAGATTCCAGGCTACTTGCTTGTACGGCCGTTCGAGGGAACCCGTCGAGTATAAAAGAGGCAGAGGATTTGAGTGATTTTTTCGTTGATGGAGCAGGAGACGTTTGTGTAGCAGATGCTGAGGTAGAAGAAATGTTGGGCGTTGGCTCGAGCCACCCTTTAGTGGTAAGCTCGGTAGATATTAGTTCGAGGATCGTTGCATCAGGAACCAGTTGCCCAGCAAGCAGAGCTGACTGGACTTTGAGTCCTACGAGCATTTAGCATTAGTGGGAATGGATATAGACAAGCTATGAAGACGTATGGTGGTTTATCATACCTATCTCTGTCTTTTTGCGGATGTTCTCCCGTAACAAATCCCCGGAGCTGATCGATGCAAGCTGTGGGTACCTCTTCATCAACCTCTCCGTCTGTGTCCCTTTCCCTACGCCCGGCGCACCGACAAGAATGATGCGCGCAGCCTTTTTCAGCCGTCGGGTTGCTGCGCCAGCCATTATACCCTCGGAATAAGCTGCGAATAAGGAGAGGAGAAGAAGGGCTGTCTATTAAAAGAGTGCACAATAATATATAATATGCAGGTCGAGTACCCTTGTTCCACGGGTGCAGAAACTCAAAAAAAAAAAGAGCTATGGGACTGAGTCTAGACGGCTGCTGCGACTAATATATAACTGTGGTGAAGCGACAGAGAGTGTGCGCGCGACAAGAATATATAGAATCGAAAGTTCCGTAAGGGAGGGAGTTTCGGTGTTTCACCCGAAATATCCTCGGGCCAAAGATTGTTGAGAGATGGTGAGGAAAAGAAGAACAAGGGGGGGAAACGGCTCTGCCGGCGGGACCTGCAGCCAATCACGTGCCAGGTGCCGAGGCCATCGAAGCAGAAGAAACGTTTGCAGAAGTTTATGGTATCAGTCATGGACTCTCATAATGTGGCCCTGGGCGATGACGAAGCCTCTCTCAAATTTACATAGTAGGAACAACGTCACTGGTACTGCTTATGATTAATCCTGATCAATAGGTGCTGTCTTCATAGCCTCTCCCTATCTATGTATACATAGCTTAACAATACAGGAAAATAGATTATGTAATCAGTCACAGGCAATATCACGTGGTAAGCAACACGAAGGTTTTGCTGAAAGTGGTTTCGCGTCTTGACGCGGTTTGGGCCGTAGAGAGAGAGAGAAAGAGAGGAGACGGTCAACCATCTCGCCCACAACACCACAGACACGAATGCAGGATTCATCATGATGCAGTATGATAGAAATCGAGTTGATGCGAAGCGCCGGGCTGGGATTGATCATAAAAAACGACAGTTTGCATCTCCAGTCTATAAGCAGCTTCATTATTCACATCGCTTAAACTTCTATGAAGTCCCCCCGACAGCTGAAATCACCCTTGAACAATTTGAACAATGGGCCATTGATCGGCTTAGAGGTACCCTGGGCCCCTTTACCACTCTCTGAGAACAGTTCAAGGCTAATTCATGTAGTTTTGTCTGAGCTTGAAGCATGCTCCTATCGAAACAAGTCCCCGGCGGAAACAGCTGCCCATATCGCCCCGCTGCTGAAGAAATTCCTCCCGTTGAGCTCAAACACGTCCCTTGGTACCGGTAGTGACGATGTTCTTCAAGTCGAGAGACAGAAGGATCACTATTCACATTTTATATTACGGCTCGCTTTTGCTTCAACCGATGATTTAAGGCGGCGCTTCATCCGTTTGGAGTCGATGCTGTTTAAATTCCGTTTCCAACAGGACGATGCACGAGAACGGCGCGAATTCGTCGATAGTTTACACTTGAACTGGGAGACAGTGACTGATGAGGAAAAGGCAGAACTGGGCGAAGCGTTATTAGCATCGACTCCCGGTGTCAGATGGGTCGACGACGAGAGTTGGTTCAAGGTAGACTGGGAAGCCGTCCCAGAATTAATTGAGCGACGAAGTATATATGTGAAGAAGGGAAAGGCATATGTGCCATTGCGTGAGCAACTCAGCATGATACTCGCAGAATTCACTGCCCGTCTAGAAAAGGCTATGGAAGTAGGTTTTCATCTTTGGCTATTTATCTTGATTCTGTCTAACAGTGAATTTCCCAGCTTACGAGCCGTGCGTTGCCTCGACTTGATGAAGACGATCGTCTATCACCGATTCTCACACATTTATCGAAAAACTTTGGAACTGCCGACTCTTCTTACTCTGAAGGAGAGGGCGCTGTTCCCGGAGCCCCAATAAATGCGGCCTCAATTGACGTTCTTTCACAACATTTCCCACTTTGCATGCGGAATCTACATATGCAACTTCGGAAAAACGCTCACTTGAAACATTTTGGACGACTTCAATATACCCTTTTCCTCAAGGGCATTGGTCTGACACTCGATGACTGTTTGGTTTTTTGGAGGCGCTCGTTCCGAAACCTGACAGACGATGAGTTCAATTCAAGATATAAATACAACGTTCGCCATGCTTACGGAGATGTTGGTGGTGATATCAACCGGAGAGGACGAGGATATCCACCGTATTCCTGCCAAAAAATCCTCACCGACAATGCACCAGGCACTGGCCAGACTCACGGGTGTCCCTATAGACATTTTTCACCCGATAACCTAATTTCGCTGCTTGAAACGGTTGGCATCACAGACGGAGAGACCCTTCGCGGCGTACGAGACGATGTCAGCCGAACCCGTTATCACATTGCATGCAATCGAGTGTTTGAACATGTTCATAAGAATGAACTAAAAAAAGTGCGTGATGAAGGGATATGGAGTCAAACCGATCTCGACACTATCGTCCATCCGAATGTTTACTTCAAGCGTAGCTATCTGCTGAAAAATCTCAACAATGCACCCAAGACAGAGGTTGAAATGACATCGTGAATTGTTTAATGACCCAAGCTGGAGGCTGCTTAATGGCGCAAACGGTTGTTTGCGATGGCGTTGGTTGTTTATTTATTTAAATATTTACTCTTTTCCCTATATTCTAGATGGTTCAATTCCGTGGTTCTCATTCTTGAATTTAAAGTACGCAGTAGGAGTTGAAGGAATTACTACTCCCCAGCAAGTAAAAAGCTATTATGTTCGTAGGAACTGCATCAACGACACATGCTGCCGTATAACAGAAGCGTATAAAGTAGCCAGAAGTAATAATCTAGAAACAGTCAAGATGTTACCGCGGCTGATTCCCGGTCTATCATGAAGGCATCAGAATGAGCTATCAAAACCAGGTGCCCAGCGATGGGTATGAATATTGAATCTTCGCTCGACGCGAAAACAGCAATGCCATAGGAGAAAGACAGAAGCTGGCAACGTAATGTGAGTATGTCGGCGTTGTTTGTATTTAGAGAAAGGAAGAAAGAGAAGAAGAAAAAAGAGTTGGAAGGATTTTTCAGTATTTAAGGGATTTTTTTTTCCCTTGGGCCTGCGCTACGGCGGGCGAGAGAGACCAAACTTACCGCATCCTGCAACCTGGCATCAAATTGGCTCCCACCACCAAACCAACAAGTTCAACGTTCTAAAGAGCTACCGGACTTCCTTTACCGCTTCAATAAGGGTCGCTGCCTAGCAAGCCGTCCTCTCCTCTTGTAATTCTCTTTCTATCTAATGTGATTATGTTTGCGAGCTTTTGTTATTGATATACTTGCCTCCAACATCGTTGTCATCTTTTATTTTGTGGTCTCCCTCCACCCTTGACCCCCATACCAAACGACTGTACTTAACGGCAGCATGGACTATGAGGCTTTGAAAGACCAGTGGAATGATGCGGAGGAGCGTGATGGTATCCGGTTGAGCTGGAACACCTTTCCAAGCACGCGCATGGTTCGTTTATATCTTGGTTGCTAGTTGTCTATTTCGAGTGCTAATGGCGGCCATAGGAAGCATCTCGGCTTGTGGTCCCCATTGGAGCTGTATACACCCCATTGAAAGAAAAGCCAGAGGGTACGTTGCTACAATATGAACCGGTTACCTGCAAGATGCCCTGTAGGGCAGTCCTTAATCCCTTTGCGTACGTCTATTAAACCTCCCTCCCCCGCACTCCATTTTGTCGAGTCTTCGACAATTAACGATGTTGATAAAGCAATGTTGATATTCGTGCACGTATCTGGATATGCCCATTCTGCCTTCAACGCAACCCTCTCCCGCCGCATTACAAGGATATTACCGAGAATACAATCCCGCCGGAGCTTCATCCAGAGAATAGTACTCTCGAATATCGGTTAGCCCGCCCTGCGCCTGCACCCCCAATCTTCCTATATGTGGTCGATACGTGTCAGGAGGAAGACAGCTTGAAGGCGTTGAAGGAATCCCTCATCATGAGCTTGTCCCTACTACCTGCCAACGCCCTTGTCGGCTTGATCACTTTCGGAACCATGGTATGTTAATCAAGAAAGACACTATTATACAACTTCAACCTGCTTACATGCATGGCTTCCCACAGGCGCAAGTTCATGAGATCGGATACACTGAATGTGCAAAGTCATACGTTTTCCGGGGCAGCAAGGACTACTCTGCAAAACAAGTTCAGGAGATGCTCGGTTTACTTGCTCCCAATCTCAGAGCGGCTGCACCACAGCAACCTACCAGGCCAAACCCTGCCAACTCTCCAGCCGCTAGGTTCCTTCTCCCTGTTCAGCAGGCTGATTATCAAATTACAAACGTCCTCGAACAGTTACAGCAAGATCCATGGCCTGTTGCCAATGACAGGCGCCCCCTAAGATGTACTGGTGTTGCTCTTAGCGTTGCCATTGGTTTGATGGAAACCTCATTCCAAGGTGCCGGCGGCCGTGTGATGTTGTTCACCAGCGGTCCAGCCTCTGAGGGGCCCGGCCTAGTTGTTGGCCCTCAGCTAAAAGAGCCAATTCGCTCTCACCACGACATTGATCGGGACAATATCAAATATTTCAAGAAAGCTGTCAAGGTATAGCAATCACACTTCCCCCGTTATTTTAGATTAATGTCTAACAAGCAGTAGTTCTACGATAACCTGGCAAAAAGAGCTTCTCACAACAGCCACATCGTGGATATATATGTCGGTTGCCTTGATCAAGTTGGCCTACTAGAAATGAAGGGTTTGGTAAACTCAACCGGTGGCCATATGCTACTTACCGATAGTTTCACCTCTTCCCAGTTCAAGCAATCCTTTGTTCGTATTTTTGACAAAGATCAGGATGATAACCTTACGATGGGGTTCAATGCTTCATTAGAAGTTCTCACCACCAAGGAACTAAAGGTTACCGGTCTGATTGGTCATGCTATCTCGTTGAATAAGAAATCCAGCTCTGTTGGTGAGACAGATTGTGGAATTGGCAACACTTGCTCTTGGAAGATGTGTGGAATTGACCCCGCTGCGAGCTATGGCTTGTTCTTCGAAATCGCAAACCAAGGCGGACCAGCTCCTATGCAGCAAGGCCCTCATCGCGCAATGATGCAATTCCTAACCTATTACCAGCATTCTTCCGGCCAATATCATCTTAGGGTTACAACTATTGCAAGGCCCCTCAGCAGCCCTGCTGGTGATGCAGCTCTTGCTCACTCATTCGATCAAGAAGCTGCGGCAGTATTGATGTCTCGTATTGCAGTGTTCAAAGCCGAAGTGGATGACGGCCCAGACGTTCTACGATGGGTTGATCGAATGCTTATCAGGCTCTGCTCCCGATTCGCAGATTACAGGAAGGATGACCAAACTTCGTTCAGACTTGAGAAGAACTTCAGTCTCTACCCTCAATTCATGTTCCACCTTCGACGAAGTCAATTCTTGCAGGTATTCAACAATTCACCAGACGAGACCGCCTTCTATCGACATGTCCTCAACCACGAGTCCGTTAGCGATTCCCTTGTAATGATCCAGCCAACTCTTGACTCATACTCTCTCGAGCATGAAGGGAGCCAACCAGTGTTATTGGACTCTGCTTCTATTCAACCCGCTCACATTCTCCTTCTAGATACCTTTTTCCATATCCTTATTTTCCATGGTGAGACAATGGCCGAATGGAGAAAGGCTGGGTACCAGGACCAGGAAGGTTATGAAAACTTCAAGGCAATCCTTGACCAGCCAAAAGAAGACGCAAGGGTATATAACCCAGCCCATAAAATTATCACAAAATCAGCTAACATTGGTTTGATTCGCCTTATAGGATCTTATCCAAGACCGATTCCCACTCCCCCGTTTCATCGTCTGTGATGCTGGTGGTTCGCAAGCTCGTTTCCTTCTTTCTAAACTCAACCCATCCACCACACATTCATCTGGTGGCTATGGAGGTGGACCGTCCGCTCAGACTATATTTACCGACGATGTTTCTCTCCAAACGTTTATGGATCACCTTATGAAGTAAGTATCATGCTCAGATTATGATCAACACTACGATGCTAACTAATGGCTTAGGCTTGCGGTATCTGGCACCAACTGATGTGAGAGCAGTGCATATTTTGGAGTGGTAGACGAGTGGCTGTGGAAATTCAATGATCAATACTTGCTAGTTAGTTAATATCAGTGTTTAAACTCAAATAATTGACACCACTATTAGTATCTAGAGAAAGCTGTGAAGGGGCAATATCTATATCACATGACGTGTTAGGGTTTGGCCCTAGAGCGCTAGTTCGCTTAAAGAAATCAAAACCAAAACTTGAACTTCGAGCTTGACTTCAGAGCTCGCACTTCATCACCCACCACCTTTCAGCAAAACCAGGAAGATAGACCACCTTTCGCACTCGCCATGCGTAAGTATCATCTCCTCTGGTATAACATGGCGGCCGACTGACACGTACAATGTGAATAGCTCCAAAGCCAGATCCAACCGAAGTCAAGGTGATGTACGTTTTTCTCCTTTTTTCCCCAAAGGATTTTGAAACATTCGAAATTCGCAGCGTAGCTGACAATTCGTTTTTTTATAGTCACCTGAGAGCCACTGGTGGTGAAGTCGGTGCCCAGTCCGCTCTCGCTCCCAAGATCGGTCCTCTCGGTCTGTCTCCCAAGAAGATTGGTGAAGATATTGCGAAGGCCACTGGTGACTGGGTATGCCATTACTTGTTGGAACATATTTCGCCCATTGGTGGTCATACCGGTGCTAATACAGTCAACAGAAAGGTCTCCGTGTTACGGTCAAGCTTGTCATCCAGAATCGTCAGGCTACTATCTCCGTCGTTCCATCTGCCTCCTCTCTTGTCATTAAGGCTCTCAAGGAGCCCCCACGTGACCGTAAGAAGGAAAAGAACATCAAGCATTCGAAGTCCATTCCTTTCGATGAGATTGTGGAGATTGCTCGCATAATGAGATCGCGCTCTTTGGCAAAGGAGCTCCGCGGAACTGTTCTTGAGATTTTGGGTACTGCTTTCAGCGTCGGCTGCCAAGTCGATGGACGCAGCCCTAAGGATGTTAGCGACGACGTCAAGGCCGGTGAAATTGACGGTACGTGGTCTCTTCCTATTATTCGGGTTTGAATTGAACTGGATGCTAACACGTTATTCGCAGTTCCCTCCGAGTAAATTTAAAAACAAAAGTTAATGAAATGAAATGACAAAGGAGACGTGAAATGAGCGTAAAGCCTTTTCTGCTCTTTATTTCTTCTACTTGTACTACTTAGAGAGGCCTTACCCAATTGTCCAATGGGATTTACGAAGTAACGACTTTTTTTTTCAACCACTTTCCCAATCCTTATACCCACTTCACTTCATGGTCTATTCCCTTTCCAGTCTTTGCCAACACTCTGGCCTGTACCGGCACGAATGTTTTCATTTGAGCAAAATCTCTACGGTACAGGCCTATTTTGGTGCAAAGAAGATCAATTGACCAACTACTCACCGCAGTATCCTTGGTTATGCATGAGGATTCCTTTCTTTTCGAAGGAAGACATGCTCATATATATCCTATGGGTATGGCGGTCCATCTTGAAGGTCTACATCTCTTTCTCGATTCGGATGACCTACTTGGTTAATCAGCTCGACCATTCTCCAGTGCGAAGATGGTATTACTATGGGAATCTTTTCTTCCAATCACACTGAAATTTGATCTATCGCCTTTATTGCTTAAATGAATACAAGACATACTTAACGCTACCGAATCCACTTATATTGACTTCAACGAAGGACATGATCTGATACGCTTATCTCAACGGGGATGCTACAATGCCTACATATTGTGCCTCTCGAGTCGTTTCTTTTTTCAAGTTCCGCTTTTCCCCGCCCAAAGGACTCATGTATCTGCCGCAGGGCCGAGATCCCCGTCTGTAGAAACCAGATGTAGAAAGATCAATGCATATCGCCGATAACGGATACATATAGCTGAGCGCTTCATACAGGTAGAAAGAGAAACACTTTATTGAGCCAATCAACCGTGGTATTTCTATCATCATTCCTGTGCCGCCGTTGCATGTACTCTGTACAGCGAGTATATAGATCAAATGAGCTACTAGCAAACGAAAAAGAAAAACAAATGGCCGCCCATATGGTGAGAAGATCCTGTGATTGAAGCTTGCATGTCACATACATATATAGTCTTTCGCCTCTTTGAACAGAGGAAAGAGGTGATGAATGTGATCAGCTGTAACACACCATTTAGAAGTGGCTTGCAAGCTCGCCTATGGTTTGAGGTAACGAAAAGGATCGCCCCCTCGACTAGAAGTTATGTACGGATGTCCAGAAGTGCATCCAAACAAATGTAGACAAGATATGACCTGAAGCATTCTCCATAGCGTATCATAGATTTTGAACCAGATATCACCTTAACGGGTTGCTTGACATTGCAGGTATATCCTTTATAACCAGAAGCACAATAACCACATATGCATTACCATATCATTAGATAATTGAATGGCGAAATCCCATACATAGTATGGTGCAGGCAACCGTCATATATGTGCAGCTAACCTTGTGTACTATGTATAACCACCACATTGCATCAGGAGCACTCCGTCAGAGTAAATTAAATTAAACACTGCCGAAGAAGCCATCCGGCTTTCGAAGCGAAGCCCGCATCTGATTAAAAGCATTGGTTATGTATACTCCGTGGAAAGCAACGGTGTGGTTGTGCTGTATGTGTATCCGAGAAGATGGGTGGGCGTCCAGCTCCCATTTCCTCTTATATCAACCATGCCAACTCGAATATCTCCCAAGACATCGGCTCTCTCGGATGAGCGCCCCAATCATGCCCCATAGTGCTGCGGGAAAAAAAAATAACTTGAGATATTAAGTTTATCTTCCCGTCGACTATGGCTCAACGTGTTCAAACTCCAGGCCAGACCAAAGAAGAGAATCGAACACTTCAGCTAGTATATGTAATCCAGAAGTCGTGTGGGGATGGAGGCAAACCACGATACCCTCCCTTTCCCATGTCGGTTGCCAGACACCATAAGCAGGCGAATGGTCCAGGAATTCCTTTAAGCCAGGGATCGCCTTTATCCCGGATGAGTGGAGACAGCACTGTGGGTGAATCCATGCTTTCAAACCTTTGAACCGATCGGAGTGGAGTCGCATGTGGATGTGGCCTTGATTTTTTTATCCCAAGGTGTTCGAGCAAGAATCATCCCCCCCATCGCCTTGGTTTCTGGTACGTTCGTATAAAATTCAGTGAGAAAACGGGGGATGCACGATTGGGGAAGTATCTCTTTGCACGGACAAACGCCTGTCACATATATATGTAAGCGGTCGAGCACACCTCGTGTCTGCGAGCAAGAATGCTGGCTCCTGGAAAGAAGGAGCGGATGTATCAGTGGAACCGTTGGAGCCACAGTGGGGTCATCCTTTCCCAAATTAAGAATGCTCCGCAGACCATGTACGCTGACGATATCCAACAGGTGTGCCAAGCTGCGACCAGGCCATGTACGGGAAGTACCCATGCGTGTCATCATATCGAAAATAATCAAAGCGCAGGAGGAGGTCGCTGACGCCCCTTTTGTTCCACAGGACATACCATGCACTTATTCTTTTTCGAGGTCCGGATAACGCGAAGCTGAGCCGTATACTATGTATATATATGTAAGGAGTGAGTAAATGCTGATGTTAGAAGAGTTCGAAACAGGCCAGTGAAACATGATTAATCACACGGTTAAGCCTCGTCTGGGTGTGGAGCCATAGAAAGAGCTCATCCACAGCCACGCAAAGAGAGGTATGGAGGATGATTGATGATGATTCTTTTGTATATATTTATATACGGAGTTTCCAGATAAAAGTGGCTTTGCAGCTGTGGTGAGTACATATTGTATGTACCTTGTAAATACTGAATATGCCCCTTTTAATGCGCGAAGCCCGTCGAATCGCAGGTCAAAAAGGTGGACATCACTCTGTACGGCGCATTCATTCGGGGTCCCAAGTCAAGCCACAGTGACATCTGGGCGTTTAACGGCCACCGTATCACCACACAGAAGGGGAGCCCAACTGTTAAAGCACTCTGGACTGTCGCCTAACTGGGTGGTGGTGGACGCTGACGCTGGTCCCAGAAAAGTAGGTTCCGCCATACCGTATATGTATATGCAGAGTTGCGCCCTCAGCCCATCGATAGAGAGGAAAATCCACAGGAGAGGATACGCTCATCCTTCAACCACATCGCCGTCAGCAAGAGATATGTGTCAGCATCCCATCCCATGCCATTAGATGTCCATATTCCTCCGTCCATCGTACATATCCACATAGTGCTCCGGACGCTCTCTGGGCCTTCACAGCTCGCCCAAATCCCTGTCCTGAGACCTGCAGATGCTTGCTTTTTC